TGACTCTCAGTGAATGTATTTCTGAAATGCATCCATTACTTAATTACGCGTCATTTGTTCTTCGATGAAGTTACCTACTATGACAAAAACTTTCCCTAAAGTATTAACAAATTTTGAACCAAGTTTTAATGAGATTGAATAAATCATGTGCAAACAGAATCTAAACGAATTAACATGCTAAAATTGATGTGGATTAAATTGACAGTAAATTATGAATATTTTGTGAAGCAATACTTCCGTAACCAGTACAGGTGGAAAGGTGTTTTGGTGTAAGCTTTGGTTTAAGTTATAAGCCCACACGAGTAGATTCGCGGCGCGAAGCAGCCACTCCTTCCAGATTGAACGGTGGACCAGCTCTGCACAATAACGTTGAGGCTTCGGCCTCATAACTCATAGTAAGTAGCGAAGTTTACGTCTAGGTGGGTGGGTTTATTCATCGATGCAACAAAAACCCCAATTTGTAAATAATCAGCGACAACTTGATCATTGGTCTAGTGGTGAGTGACCCGACTCACCTACCTAATGTACCAAATTAATTCCGGTCAAAGTCAATGTATTTGCCCTGCTTCTTAATCTATACATGCTCTTCGGGCTATTTCTGTACCTACATATAGAGAAACCAACATAGTGGCAAAATTAGTAGAACGATAATTGAAACAATGCCAATAAAGATTAATATAATTTATTGGTACAACAATTATTGTATTTTACGTTTTATGAGAAATGAACGGTTAAAGATAAGAGTATTTATGACGCTAGAAGTGAACATTGTTCGACTCAGTAAGTAGCTATAATACTGCCAGCTGCAACCCGCCATTTGTACGATATCTTAACACGTTCACTGCGGAACAGGCCCAAATCAGCCTGCCGCGGAATTTCACCTGGTGCGGACGAAGAAAACTATGTCCCTCTCGCTGGTGCGGAACGATTATCTCAGGTGTTTGTAAAGGTACGACAAAGACAAATATATATTTCGAGATTGTGGTCAAAAGTATAGGTATTCCCTATAAAAACATCATGGCAGGCCTTTATCGGCCTATCACGCACTGACGGTAAAAAATATCAACTCGGTGCGGGAGGAGGTCTATTGTGGCCCGCCGTCCCAACAGGCTGTTGGCGGCCCGATACCGCACAGAGCGCCCGCCTCGCCAGTTAGTGTTGGGCAAGCTATCGGAACTGACATACGTCACGTTTTTTTATTCCTTAAAATTAAAGGCACGATGTCAGGCAACAAAAGAAAGATAAATATTTTGGAAAATAAATTAATTTGCGGTGCAGATAGTGATAGTGACAGCAGTCAGAAGATATTTTCCTTCAAGAAAATGAAAAACTGCGGGAAACCATGAAGAGTTCCGAGGTGAAAAGGAAAGTAAAAAAAATTAAAACATACTGCAGCAAAATCTTTGTGCGAAATGTTTTAAAGACAGCCATTAATAAACAATTAAATAAACAATTTTTATTTCTTTACTTTAATTCTGTTTTATTTTCGATATCCCCTTATTTTTGTCTTTCCCATCACTACTAAAAATACTTTCTAGTGCGGTTCTGGTCGATATCGACCCGCCACTTTCCCTGGTTTATTTCTCATTTTCTGTTCGGCAGATCCCGGGGCGAATCAAATCTAAAGAAGTTGGGTTCAAGGTTTTNCACTTTCCCTGGTTTATTTCTCATTTTCTGTTCGGCAGATCCCGGGGCGAATCAAATCTAAAGAAGTTGGGTTCAAGGTTTTTCCAACAGTCCAAAAACTGTTCACCTACATTATGTTTTCGCAAAGTTATAGCAATTTAATCTAACCTTGTGCTGACGTGTCGAAAAAGACCTACCACGCACTGGCGGAAAAATCATTGGAGGCACAATTTGGCCCGCCGCCGCACCAGACAAAGGTTTAAGATTTTACTTGCCGCAGCGAACGTGTTAATTTAATTAATTGTTCCTCGATTTTCGCGAGTCGTAGATATACTTAAAACCACATTTACGGCCTAACCTGCCGTCTGTTGCTGTCGCTGTCTTGTTACCGACGTTTCGAATATTTTACAGTTTTCGTGGTCACGGTCGACTGAGGTATTATTAGTCACATTTGAATATTGCGGCAGTCAGTGTAGACACTACGCGCTAGTCTATTTTCGCACTATTTTTTGTTCTTTTTACATTTCATTTACACAGAACGAGATAATATGTTGAGATCTTGCAGCTTATTTGACTTGGGTTTTCATCTTCATGACGAAAAAAAAAGAGTTTCCACTAATGGGGCGTGAGGTCATTGAAAAAAAAAAACCTTAACTTTAATAGAGAAGATAGTGAGGAGCGATTCTAGGTAGACTTATGAATTTGTCATTGGACCACAGTTCGTTAAGAGTGAAATACAAATGCGTACATTGTACTGCAGAATGTTTCATTTCTAGAGCGTTTGCTAATGAAGCCAGAGTTAGGTAAGTATGTGAGCTGAGCAAAATTTGGAGAGACCGTAATATTATTCACCGGACTAAAATACATATAGTCCGCACCCTTGTCTTCTCCATTGCTCTATACAATGCAGAGAGGTGGACACTCAAAGCTGCAGATAGGCAGGGAATCGACACTTTTGAGATGTGGTGCTGGCGACGTATGCTACGAATACCATGGACGGCCCGCTGCACCAACATCTCTATTCTCAAGCAGTTAAAAATATAAAAGACTCAACGTCTATCCACAACCTGTCTACAAAGAATATTGTGGTATTTGGTCATGTTGCACGCAGGGATACCAGCAATTTGGAATGCCTTGTAGTGACCGGTAAAATCGAGGGAAAAAGGCTAGGGGTAGAGGTACCAAACGATGGTCGATCCAAATAGCGTAGGAACTGAAAATACCTTTCAGTGAAGTAATCTACCAAGCTACAAAACGGGATCGATGGAGACAGCTGATTGACGGAATCGGACGGAGTCACGATCCTCAGCAATGAGGGATCGATTGAAGAGAGAGAGTTAGGTAAGTATGTATAATGCATTCAATTTGTTTACTTCGGTTGTAAACATATACTCTTAGGTCAATCGATAGTCTGTTGAACAGCTATTCTCCCACAAACAATGTTTCCTTTACATAGTTAGTTCGGATATTTAACGATTCCAATTTGTTTTTACTTCTTTAGTATAGTTTTTTTTAGCAGATGCTTTCCTTTAGTGGTATTGCAGATTGAGTTCCATTGATATGTTCCATGTGTGATATCAAAGTTAATTTGTCAACTATCCTTTTCTTTGCGCCAGGAGCTGTATTTTCTACGTGTTTCTCGTGCATCGGGGTCTACCAAGTACCCACACCAAGGGGGCGCGCACCTGGTATAGTTTTGTTTTTTGCATTGAAAATTATGAATTAAATTTTTGCTTTGTTCATTTAATAATAGTATATTACGCACCGAGGGAGAAAAGTAGGGCATTCACGCGAATTGTTCTTGACAAAGGGAATGTTCTACTTTTCTGTCTCGGTGTGTATGCAGTCTCACCAGAAGAGAATCGGATACTTTTGTCCCGCGTGCCAGGGACTAAAAGCGAACTTTTCATCCCGGGTGGGAAATAAATTCGCAAATATCATAATGTTACGCTGGTTATAGTTACTGTTCCTGTTTTCAGGTCTTCCAGAATCTTCCTCACATCAGCTACCTGAACCTCAGTTTTGGCAATCCGGGTCTCGTCGGACCTGCTCTTTTATCTCCGTCAAGTCTTTACCGAATGTCTCTTTTAAATCTTTTATTAAGAGCATCTGTACCTCCTGTCGTCGAGCCTGCTCCTCCTGGCAATGGGCCTGCTCCTCTTGGCGACGAGCCTGTTCTTGCAAAAGCACCATTATGGCCGCAAGGTCAGGAGCTACTACTGCCGGAGAAACACCCGATGTACCCGCGGTTGAATCCATTGCTGCTGTTTCGCCTTGCTGTTCCTCGGTCGGCGTTACGGAACCTTCAAACCGCCTTCTGTCCAGTTCCTGCTGCCACTGATCTCTGGTGCGAATACCTTCCGCCGTGTCCTTTGGTAAAACTGGAATTATTTATCTCACTTCTGACACCAAATTGTTACGCGCTAGGGTTCGGGATAAACAAAATTCTACCGATTACAAGTTGAAACTGTATTTTTTTTTTTAATTTTTTTTTTATTGCCTTTGTAGGCAGACGGGCATACGGCCCACCTGATGGTGAGTGGTTACCGTCGCCCATGGACTTCAGCAATGCCAGGGGCAGAGCCAAGCCGCTGCCTACCGCTTAATACTCTCCACAAGCCTCGTTTGAAGAAGGACATGTCATAGCGCTCGGGAAACACCATTTATCACTTAGAACACACACAGAACACTTTAAAATTCTCAATTCGCTTCGCTTCGGGTGATCAATTCGCTGTTTCGCTTCGAGTAGTTCCGATTACTGACTGACCGCGTGTCGTGGGGTCGTCGCGTCCCCTTGCGGGGGCGCGGAGCGGGCCTTGGGGAAACCCCTCTGCTCGGACTGGATCTCCCTACCTATTGAGGCAGGGGTGATGCACTGCGGGATGGTGTGTAGCTTGAACTGACCACGTGCCATCTCTGCAACGCTTTTATAGTCGAAACGAAATCCCTAAAATCGTCGACAATATTCCACACAAGTCGAGTATTGTGTGTTTCCGCTATCTGACAATAGATGGTGTTGTACTTCTGGAGCATTCTAGATGCTACTAAATCCTTCGATAATCGTTCGGCTACTCAGCGATAGATGGCGTTACTCTTACCGGCGTAACAATAAGTTGGTCGAGATCACCTTCACCCGTCTCAGCCATTTCTTTGGGAGATCTTTTTTGGAAGAACACAATATAAAGTTTCTAGTTTAAACTAGAGCTGCTGGCGCTATTCGAGTCGCTCATTGGAGCTGATAGAAGCCACTATAAGATCCACAAATATTTAAATAATATCGATAAAAAAATGGCACAATAAAACTTATCAGAAAAAAGGCGATAAACTTATTGGGGGTATTATTATTCACGTAGCCACAGAACAAGATAGTGGTCATGTCTTCGGAAACTCTTGATCGAAAGGAAAATGACTGTCGAGACGCGAAGGTAGATTTGGATACGATTTTAGTAGAGGAAATAGGACAGTTCGGGAAATTTCAGCTTCGAACGCTGGCCCTGACTTTGGTCGCTGTCATATTTTGTGCTGTTTACGGGGAATTCGTGTTCACGGCTGCCAGAATCAACAGCAGGTGAGATAAAACAACTACTGTTTCTTATTTTAATGTGACTTAATGAGGTTTGAGTGAAACTGTGATTGTGAACGTGTGACAAATAAAAATAGAAATGGACGGAGGTATTCACATTCTGATGGCGATGGATTCCGGAACCATTTAACACTATAATAAAACTCAAACGGGTGTAACTTCTGGTGTGGTTCTGTGGACGCTGGACGCTGGTGCGCGATGATCATGCATTTCTTTTCTTATTTACCTTGTAGTATTTTAGAAAAAAGTGACTTACTTTATGGTTTTATAAAAGTGACATCAAACCTCTAGGTGTGTTATCCCGGAGTGTGAGGAACCATCGACAGCGGTGTACGCTCCTGATTGGATTCTCAATGCAATTCCTGGAACCAGTCTCACGTCATTCGATAACTGCCAGCGCTTTGCAAATGCCTCGACCATCCTTACCGATAGATCCACCTGTCCTGCTGATTTATTTGACGTGCATCGTGTGGTCCAATGTGAAGCTTATGTCTATGAACATGCCCAAACTGTTGTTTATGACGTAAGTACTTTATAGAATTTAATACACTTTAGTAGAATTTCGTAGACAAATGGTAAGAAAAAAATTACATGTGTGCAATTCACACGTGGTAAAAGTGAAACCTTCCAAAATTAAAATAAAATTATCCTAAACGTCTTAAGTATATGTAAAATTTTGTCATTAGTAAATAATTGTAAGGTAGCGCCCTCTGTGAATTGATATTTTAATTTCACGTATAATCCTAAATTAAAATTCACTACAAGAGCTTTCATACACACGTTAGTATTAAAAAATCTCACAGATGGCGCTGTANATTCACTACAAGAGCTTTCATACACACGTTAGTATTAAAAAATCTCACAGATGGCGCTGTATTAAATAGTATGTATATTTCTGTCTCATTCTTTGCTGGCTTCATCCTACACATTTTTGTATTTGTGTCTCTTACCTGTCGTTTTTTCCGTTGCATCCGGTTTGAAATCACAACGATTCTAAAGAAGTTTTCACTTCAAAAAGTCAAACGAAACTTTTCTAAATTTATCATAGTTATCTGTTTGTTCAAGTGCCAGGACATCTGATATAGATTTGACATAGAAGTTATTTTAATACTATAAATATAAAGTTTTAAAATGTTTTCCGTAAATCAATTAATAATGCATAGAAATTACGGGAAAAAATTGACAGAGTTATCAGCAGTTAGGTACAACAGTATATTTTTAAGCCACCGGTTACAGTTGTTGTTGTTGCAATATGGTAGGTGTCCAGCTTGCACGGGTCAATTCTTCATTATACTTAAGCGGCAAACATAGAAACTCCGTATTGTTACTGAAGAAAAAGATCGAGTTAACATGATATTTTAAATTGTTTAGGACTTTTAATTTCCAGTTTGATTTAGGATGCGACGAATGGCGACGGACACTCATAGGTTTTGTCAGAACCTTTGGGTCGTTGGTGGCGCTACCCATCACTGGGTACATCTCTGATCACTGGGGGCGACGGTTCGCCCTCACCTTCAATGCCTTCAACACTGGCTGGATCGGAGTCATCAGATATTGGGCCAATACCTATAGCGGATACATAGTTTCAGTTTTTGTTGAATCTGCATTAGGAGGTGCAGTATTTTCCTGCACGTATATTTTAGGTAAGCCGAACATTTTAGAGGATTAATTACTTTTATGTAAAAAGAAATGTAGTCGTTAATAGAGAGAGAGAGAGAGAGAGAGAAAGGGGGAAGAGGTCGACCGAAGAAGACATGGATGAGTGTGTGAATACCGATATAAGAGAGAGAGCAGTGAGTGTTGAGCTGACGGCTGATAGAAGAGAATGGAAGGGAAAATTAGTTGTGCCGATCCCATCTAGTGAGATAAAGTGAAGAAAAAGAAGAAAATAGTCTAGTCGATATTAATTGGCAGACATTGAGTATTTTCAGAAGCAAATTGGAATAGCCTTTCCACTAATAAAAACAAAAAAACGGTAGTCTGTTCCTATGTAATAGTTATCACAAGATATCATCTGCTTTCAGTTTTAGAGTTAGTTGGTCCAAAATACCGTACTGTAGCTGGCGCAATACTAACTACATTTTTCGCCGTGGGTCAAGTGATATTGGCTCTTGTTGCCTGGGCTGTCCCGTACTGGAGACCCCTTACATTAGCCATGTATATACCTCAACTTATCACCATTGGATACCTTTGGGTTATTTCTGAATCAATACGCTGGTATATGAGCAAAAACAATTATGATGAAGCCGAAAAGTTGCTTCAAAATGTAGCTAAAGTCAACGGGAAACAGCTATCAAGACAGTCTTTGGAGGCTCTACGCAGGACCGCGGAAGAACAAAAGCGAAGAATAGATATTGAGAAGAAAGACAAAATAAAAGAACCATGGCTAATAGTTTTAGTGTTTCAAAACAGACGGATATTAATCAGATGCCTCGTCTCCCCGATCTGGTGGATCACTAGCACCTTAATATACCACGGATTGTCCATAAATGCAGTGAACATGTCGGGGAATGCTTATTTGAATTATGCTGCGGTAGCTGCAGCGGGAATTCCAGGTTTCTGGTTGGCAGTCCTTCTGATGAGCAGGATCGGAAGGAGACCGGTGTTGATCGGTGCATACTGGTTGTGTGGACTTTGTCAAGTCGCATACATATTTATGCCAGATGGTAAGTTTTTTTCAGTAATATAAAATTGAACCCCTAACCCCTCCAAAATCTTGTGATCAAGTGATCTTTTAAATGACTTGCATCAATTTACCTTATCTTTGCCGATCTACGCAAGAAATTTAACCTAAAAAATGAAAAATATTTCAAATCAAAATTGATTGCCAGCCATAAATAAATTACATTTTAAAGGGCCAGTATTGTAAAATGGCAACTTCATAGGAAACACCTATTATTTAATAAGGAATTTATCTATACTTATTTCTCATTTACCACTATTATTTAAAGTAGTTTAATTTATGAGAGCAGCGATAATTACTCGTAAATTATACTAAAATATGCTAGGTTTAAGTGTTGATTAGATTATTAAAATATCTGAATACAATCATAGTGCTGTTATCTATAAGTCAATCGTAAACATTTCGGTTGGATTTTGTATTACACCGGTGATAGAAGAATGTATGATCATGTTTTTTTTCTAGACTTGTATGCGGTTTCACTCGCCGTGTACCTGGTTGGGAAGATCAGCATATCCACAGTAGTGACGGCTATCTACATGTACACCGCCGAGCTATACCCTACCAAGTACAGACACAATCTGTTCGCCTTCTCCTCGATGGTGGGCAGGATCGGATCTATCATTGCACCTCTCACTCCTGCTATTGTGAGTGTGTATTTATGTGACTTATTTAAGAATAGTGCCGTCCGTCCATAACAAAACTTAAAAAAAAAGACACGACGTAAAGGGTTTTTTTTCTTTTTTTATCGTTTAGATAGGTGGACGAGCTCACAGCGCACCTGGTGTTAAGTGGTTACTGGAGCCCATAGACATCTACAAAATAAATGCGCAACCCGCCTCATGATATAAGTTCTAAGGTCTCAAGTATAGTTACAACGGCTGCCCCCGCCCTTCAAACCGAAACGCATTACTGCTTCACGGCTGAAATAAGCAGGGTGGTGGTACCTACCCGTGCGGACTCACAAAAGGTCCTACCACTAGTAATTATAATTAATGGTATGCGCCCCCACCCTGCCTATTTCTGCCGTGAAGCGCTAATACTTTCCAGTTTGAAGAGTGGAGCAGTCGTTGTACTACAGACCTGTGATTTTGCTCTTGTATAAAGCAGGATGATGGCAGCATGTACGTTGCCGGTCGCGGGCTTCGCTAAACATTTAACGCGAGACTGGCCGCGAACTCGTTCATCTGACTAAGCGAAAAAAAAGGAACGGAACTATGATGTACCGAGTGGTCTCAGTAGGCTATCTCACTCCTGCCTCAAAAACTAAATCCATACCACAACCTCGCGAGGCATTCTGGTTTTTTTTTTGTTTTTTTTTTTTTTTGGCTCGAGTCTCGTCATTCGTGAAAGAAGATTCTCGAGACATAAAAAAAAAAACCAGAATGCCACGCGAGGTTGTGGTATGGATTTAGTTTTTCTATGAGTCGTCATGTGCTCCCAATGACTGACGATTGACAGCTATAAGAAATGTTGTGTGTGATGAGTTGCACTGTATTATTATAGCGGACTAACGCATCCATATTAAGACAGCTTAATATCCAAACGAGGTTCTTTACCACCTGCGGAGTATATTTGAGTTCTTCAGTCACAATGCCAGAAAGAGCAGTAACAATTTTGAAAAGTTGATGGTAACTGGCAAGATTGCAGGCAAAAGATCTCGTGGCCGCAATTCAACGCGATGGTCCAATCTGCACCGCTCTGGATGCCATAGTCTATTATGCTATACAGACCGCCGAGAACAGAGGAAGATGACGAAACATCATCAAGAGGAGAATAATGAGAGGGGATAGTAACCACCCTCACACATGAGAAATGCGACTCATATAATAATATAATATAAATAAATATAAATAATCCAAGCAGTAAACAATATTTGTAGACTTTTGATGTGGACCGACCGCGAGGTCTATCTAGCTTTCTTTTCCGTCCATCAAAGCGATGCCTGTCAAATGATATCTGTGTCAAACAACCTCCATAATATCCGATTTGACTTACCTGTTTCAGGGAGCTGCGACATTTGACAATCTGCCGTTCATATTGTTCGCGTCAATGGCATTTCTCTCTGGCTTCCTGATGTTTCTGACTCCGGAAACAAACGGCACCAAGCTTCCGGACACTATGGAAGAAGCCTCTAATATAGGGCTCAGAGATAAATAGTATTTTTATTGTAAACTGTATGTGTCAGTAATTATTAAACATATACTGTTTTTGTTGATTTGACCAAAGATATCTGGACCTATGGCTCTGATTCTAGAAATCTTTCCCTGCTAGAATGCTAAGCTGTCCTATTGTATTTTGAAATCAAAACCTTAGAATGTGCTTACAAATTTTTAGATATTCTGATTGTGACAACCTGTTGAACTTCGGGTTTTATTGGTTAAGGCGTATTGTTAGTTTCAAGCTGGCAGGGCGTATTATAAACAACTCTGGAGTCGGTAGTGCGTATTTCCAGTCTTGATATTGGGTCGTGGAGTTTAATACGCTGTTTGCAGGATAGCCGATGGAGCACCGTGGTTCAGAGAAACGTGGATCTCCATGATGACCTGGAGCTTGACTATCTAAAGTCGGCATCAGTGCGCCACTTTGAGAAGGCAGCACGACACGAAATCCCTGGCCGCTGGAAATTACATACCCGATCCTGCGGACCGAATGGTAAACAGTCGCGTCTCCCTTAACATGTCATTTCGGATCCACTAACAGTTTTTTTAGGTACCTCAAGCACCGGTCACCGTTCTAGTCGAACCCGTCGCTTGCGACGAAGGGCTTGGCGAGGAAATTAATCCACATACGCAGCCCACTGAGTTACTCGCCGGATCTTATCAGTGGGTTGCGTTTTGGATCCAGTGGTAGATTCTGCTCTCGCTAGGGCTAGTATTACCAACACCCTCAGGTTAGAGCCCCAAGAGCTCACCTACCCGTTAGGGTTACGCTGGTATAGCCTCTCAAGTCACGTTGTGATTCGTTTTCGTTACAAGAAACAGCATTAGGCAGCGGCTTGGCTCTGCCCTTGCCATTGCTGACGTCCATGGGCAACGGTAACCACTCACCATCAGGTGGGCCGTATGCTGGTCTACCTATAAGGGCAATAAAAATAAATAAAGAAGCTATATCACGAGTCTGGACTATTGTATTTACTTATACTCTATAGCTGGGTACCGAGTTTGTGGCCCTGGTACGATTGATATTAAGTGGTTACCTTAACCTCTAGTTATCACAATATGACAGCTGCCACCTGCCCAGCGATATGAGGTGTAACTCAATTATACACTAGCAGTAACATTAGTTTCTTTGATATCGGATCGCATTACATCAGGTACAGTAGGAATAGATAGGATTGTGGTGTCTGTACAGCTACCCTCGTTCTATCTTGTGTACTGGATGTGAAGTGTTCCGGTGTGAGAGTCGGTCGAAGCCGGTCGACGCGGTCTCGATCGCGTCATGAGATCAGATGCAGCCTGCATCCGTGTGATCGGAGACCGGCGTTGTTTAATGTTGACATGTGCACATTTCACACAGCACATTGTGTTTCGGAGAGCGCACGATTCTGACGCGCCGCGCTCTTCACACGTTCTCAACGTCAAGAATGCGAGTCGCGTTTTAATTTCAATATTTATCACATACACTAAGTGTTTTGTACAAATTTATTAGTAAAAGATTTATTGGTAATTATTTTTGTACTTTTCGAGTAGCAGCCATGACCAAAGTTGTTCGAGTGTCTTGGTTATTTTGAATGTTTTCAAATCGCGGATACTTCGAATGGACTCCAGTTTTAACGGTTCTCGGACCAAAAATTCTGCAAATAAATTGGTACGTATTTAGAAACATTCAGAGCTGTCAATATAATAAGGATACGCTAATGTTTTTGCACACAGTTTCCTAATTCAACAAGACAAACGAAGAACGGTCATCTCTCTATATATTTAGGATCAGTATATACTTGACTTCCTCCGTCTGCTATGAGTCGCCGTTGGAGCGAGTAATTTGCGTCTGCAGTTGGTCCTTTGCTTGATTTGGTCCAATAAAATGTAGATAGTTTTTTATCACTTAAAGTCAATTATATCTGAATCCTCTAGATAGGCAGACGAACTCAAAGTTCACCTGATGTACTTACCACAATCCATAGACATCATAGTGTCGATGCCGCCCTCTCCCTCGAGATATGAGCTATGAGTAATTTTGAATTGGATATTTATTTAGAGTTATATTCCTTCATTATTGAAGTCACTCGTAAACGCGTGTTCGGTATTTAGTTTAAAAAATTATATCCCCTAAAAGAAAAGCTGTATCTAAGTCAGGATAGGAAGCTCGATTTTACTGTGATAGCGTCTGAAATTATGTCAATACTTATTAGCTTTGGAAGCAGGCGAGCCGACGGTCCATAAGCGATCCTATATCTATAGAGCCGGTCCATCAGTAACAGTACAAACAACACGAAGAACAACAATTCACAAATAATAATTGATACACTGCACAAAAACCACTATTACTAATTTCGTACTAGTTACGCTAGGTAGCTGCTTGGTCCCCGGACGGAGATCGGACGTCGGGTGTAAGAGTGCAGGGGAGTCGTTTAGTGGGTGGGCCCTAAAATCCTTGGGCCCGCGATCTGCTCTCAACACCTGCAGATCGTTAAGTCTCACATACCCCGCGCGCCCCCTAGGCGCGGGGACCTCGTAGGAGGTTCGGCCCTCTACCCGAAAAAAAAAAAAAGGTAGCTGCTTGGTTCTGCCCCTGGCATTGCTGAAGTCCATGGGCGACGGTAACCACTCATCATCAGGTGGGTGAACGCACCTCGGAGGAATCAAAGATGAATTCGATTAACAACTTTGCCGAATTCAAAAACTGAATATAATTCGCTTTTTTTTTAATCTTCATTGTACAAAACAAAAACAAAAAAAACAAGTCAGTGAGATGAGCGATTTTGTCGCTAATAACGATTAGTTCCGGAGAACCAATTATGGTAAATACATACAATGAACTGACTTACAATGGAAGTATATTTTGTTCTCGGATCAATATATTATACTCCACTGTCAATGTAATAATAGACACGATATTTTAGAAATAATATAAAAATTCGCTCAACTGCTTAACTAGTAACTAGGGCTTAACTAGTCCATTATTATTTTACCCCTACATCATACGCGATCGAAATGAATTCCTAAAGCTTGGAGCTGCTGCGTTCATCCACAAAGCATTTCCAGCCTAAAAGACACTTGAAGAGATTCCCCCCAGTAGGCAGCGGTCTGTCTGTGTCACGAAGGACGAGCCGTCTCACCATCGAGCGATCCAAGCCACGTGTAACTACCACGACACTAAATAATTAAATAAACACTTTCAAAATTTAACTCAAATGATGAGGCCGAAAAAATTAGAATTATCATATTTTCGCCGGTTCCGTAAATTTTCAGTTGCAGATGTGTGCGTGTCTTCGTACACACACATACATACGCCGGTAAATAAGCGGAAAAGGCCGAAAACCTTTTCTGTGTAACGTGCGGACTGACTCTGCTGACTCTTTTTTAAATAAATCATTTTAAACGAGAACACAATCGAATTTGACACTTCCGATGCTTTATGTGTCATCCGTACTGTCATTTGAGCTCTTGTTTGAAGTTTCAATGTCTAATTGAAGGTAACAAAATATTAAATTTCGTTTATGGATAATCTTTGGTCAAATTATTTTCCATCTGTTCCGATAAATCTGTATAACAAATAATAAATTCTTCTACTTACTATTATACATAGTATTTAGTAGTTCACTTAGTACTTTCCAATTTATCTTAATCATAACATTTAATAATAAAATGTATATAGCAAGGAAATAATAGTTTAAATAAACTGCTACTTTGTGGGCTATCTCTAAAATACGAGATGAATGAACTAATGATTGTTCTCGTTTATCAATAGTTCACTCACTCATTGGCCTGACGCGGTGTGTAGAGTGTAGTCGGCGTAATGCTCCGCGGCTACGCCGACACTTGGTGTCACACTTAAGATGAAGTTTTCGCGTGATTTTTACACCCACTTACCGCTGTTGATATAGCATTGAGAATTGCATATCATAGTTACAAAAAATAGGTTTTTTTTTTATTTTATTGCCCGTGTAGGCAGACGAGCATACGGCCCACCTGATGGTGAGTGGTGACCGTTGCTCATGGACATCAGCAATGCCAGGGCCAGATCCAAGGAGCTGCCTACCGTAACAACAGTATTACCTACGATCTGACAAAATGATTTTCCTTTTTTTATGTTATGCTCTTTACCATCACTAATGATTATTTTATCTCTAGCAGAGATTTGATGGTAAGAAACTCGTGAATGGGACAATACACCCTCATGTAGATATCATTTACATATTCATACATTTTTTGGAATTGTTCATTTGTATACGACAAAATAAAGACATTAAATAAATGTAATGGAATTAGCAGCAAGTAAGAGGCAAGCAAGAAGATCCGGCGAGACACACATCGGGTTGTGACCGCTCGGACGTTGACCGGTGCTTGAAGAGCCTAAAAACACCGAAAGTGGATCAGGGGATCCGACAAGACATGTTGTGGGCGACAGCTTTGCTTTGCCTCGTCACCTGGGTCGGATATGTAATTAGCGGCGGACACGATAAGAGAGTTATCGTATCGAGCTGCTGTAACAAAGTAGCGTTCTGGCGCTTCTTTAAGATTCTAGCTTTAGGTCGTCGTGAAGATCAACATTCCTCACGTACCTATGTATGTGCTCCAATGGTTATACTGCAGAAACAACAGACAGTCCGGCCACAGACAGACCCACACATAAGAAGATGTATTTACAACCACGAAATTTCTAGCTGAAATTCAACTCTCCTATATTAATATTTTATCCTAAACGATTGAAGTCGGTGTCCCCCCCAAGAAAGTCTTTTTTTCTCCTACCTACGCTGAAAGTTCGGTTTTCCTCCCGCTGTACAGGGAAGAAAGTGAACTTTTCCTCCCTGGGTACTGACAGGTGCGCATGCGCGTTAGTGTCTACGTCTGCTCTCACGCACCTAAAATTCTCCGCCATTGTTGTGCTCGGGTAATTTGCAATATTGTGCTTAGTGTAAAAGTGAAATAAACAAAAGGCAATAAAATTTAATAGTGAAGTATTAAACAAAGATGAGTTCATCAGACAGTTCTTATTCAATTAGTAGTAGTTTATTTAAATTTTAAAAAACAGTTAAATTGTTTTTTATGAGAATGGGGGGGCTCCGCCCCCCTGCACCCAGCCAGGGCTTCGCCCCTGGACCCCGGCTCCGTACTCCACGAACTTTCGGCCTGGTAGGAGAAATCTCATTCCGCGTGTTTGCCATTTTACACGCGGGGGGAAATGTCCTACTGTTCTCCCTTGGTGAACAATGTACTATAATATTAAATAAAAAGATCCACTTAAAATTTCCTTATTTCTGTTTCAAAAGAATAACAATATTTCATATAATTTATTTTTAATTAGACATCAGATACGCTTAACCGTTAAATTAGTTAATGATTACGATAAAATGTGAAATAAATGTCTTATTTATTATTATAATACTTTGCCATCGCAATCTGTTCAACCACAACTCACAAGACGTCAGTCAGCCAGCACCGGACGCAGGGTACTGTTCTCGGTAGCGATCATTTCTTAATTTACACTTTACGAAAATGTGATTTACATAAACGGAAAATCGTTGTCATTTATTAAGGTAAAAAGAATAATTGATAACAATTGGAAAACATTGGAATATTACTTGATTTTTTCCTGGAATACAATAATACCAAATTATTTAACGAGTCACATTTTAGAACCACCTACCTTTTTCTTGTATCAAAGAATCTTGCGTTCTGGTTTAATACTTTATTTTTATTTTTTATTTATTGCTTAGATGGGTGGACGAGCTCACAGCCCACCTGGTGTTAAGTGGTTACTGGAGCCCATAGACATCTACGACGTAAAGGCGCCACCCACCTTGAGATTTAAGTTCTAAGGTCTCAAGTATAGTTACAACGGTTGCCCAACCCTTCAAACCGAAACGCATTACTGCTTCACGGCAGAAATAGACAGGGCGGTGGTACTTACCCGTGTGGACTCACAAGAGGTCCTACCACCAGTAAATTGAGGCTTCGAGCTGATGCCGACAGCCAGCGGCGGCCATTACTCGTACCTGGTAACGTCAGCGGGCGCCAGTCAGTGCAGAACACGAGGTGGACCGCGAGATAGTTAGCCCCTGCAATCCAACACTAGTGCACTAAACATTTAACCCCACGTCTCTACACGAGTGACTTTGTGACGTCAATGGAATATGACCACTGGGGTATCATCGTCGCTGCGTTCCAAATTTTCCTTGAAGCGACTCACGAGTAATACATCTGTCATTAAATCTAAAGTAGGTATTCCCTCTCCGTCACAGACATGTGCGTGTGTAACATATTAAAGAGTCATAGCAACCTGAAGGTCACACTTTTGCTAGTTAATTTATTTGTACAAACGAGTTTAAAGCTCACCTGGTATTATGTCGGCACCGGAGTACGTAAACATAACATAGTCAATACTGTTATCCGCATTGAGGCACGGGGTCGGATTCGTAGCTGTTTTGCACAAGAATGCCTCGTCATCCAGTTTGGAACAGATGAATGCTCCTAGACAGGAGTAGACAGGACGATGGTGACCACACGACGCGTCATATCACTCTTAAAGCAATAAGGCTGACTGTACCCCAGCGCGGAATGCACGATTGCTTCACAGCAGTTTTAATAGTTCCTCAAAACATCAGTGGTTACTCCTACTCCAGCTGCTGACTCGGTATACAGAGTGCAGTGTCTACTACTCTACTCCACTAGCAGAGATCACGTTACTTGACGGCTTACTGTCACTCCGCAGCACTTGTCTTTTCATTAAGCCCTTAGAGAGCTCATGTTAATCACATAATATTTGTTAAGGAATCTGCATCGGTCTCTTGACCGACGCGCAGTATACATACGTCTACACCAGACATCTTAAGTAAGCAAACAAACATTTTGTATTCAGCGGCTCCGAGCTACCATCGGAGCTATGGGAACAGAAAACACTCCACTTGACCGGACTACACTCAAACACCTATATCTATAGTCCCACTATTACAGTAGTACTAGGGACCTGGTATTTAAGATAAAAGATGTGGTGTCGTGGGACAATAGGTAGGAACGAAGTTCCTTCGGCTTATGTAGAATCGACACATTTTGCCAAAAAAAACGTGCTCAATTTTATGTCGTTTTTCTTGATTTTTCTCTTAAATTTTGCTGATTAGTTTTTATTTAAGTGCAGGAAAGTATTTAGGAAATTCAGTATTTTAGGAAATAATTAATTACGTAAAAAGAAAAAAAATGTAATTCAAACTATCAATTAAAATAACAAAATATGTCCCTTTATTTTTGTTTGACAACATAAAATTACATAGAAATAGAAATAATTACAAAATAGAGAGAGAAGGGATGAGAGAACGAAAAGAAAGAAGGAGAAGGAAGGAGAAGGAGAAAGAGAAAGGTATTATACACTACTCGCTTGTGTATACGACTGTCGCGCCTGCGCACGTCTCATTTAACTGTTTTATTCCACGGACTTTTCCTTGCGGTTTTACTATCACGTTTTTTTCAGTTCGGTCGCGCAGCAAAATCTCTATCTCCTCCAAGCAAAAAAATCGGTTGTCCTTAAAGTCGGTCTACTGACGATAGTTGAACGTGACAACGTCATAAGAGAATACTGTTGGAATGATTTCATTTTTCAAAAGAAAATTTTAATTTTATTTTTGTTTGATCGATATTTTGTATGGATATAGAGAAAGAGGTAAATGGAAATCACTATTGAATTGATCAAGTTACATTTGTTTGTACGCATAAATACAATTATCTCATATTTTTTTTACAATGTACATAGTTTTTTCATTACACATTAAATGTACACAACTACTACTACTACTACTATTACTACCACCACCACCACCACCACCACCATCACCACCACCACCGCCACCACCACCGCCAGTTCAGTGGCTTGGTCGTGAAAATGTAACCAACATAGCTAATTTTTACTGGTGGTAGGACCTCTTGTGAGTCCGCACGGGTAGGTACCACCACCCTGCCTATTTCTGCCGTGAAGCAGTAATGCGTTTCGGTTTGAAGGGCGGGGTAGCCGTTGTAACTATACTGAGACCATATCTCAAGGTGGGTGGCGCATTTACGTTGTGGATGTCTATGGGCTCCAGTAACCACTTAACACCAGGTGGGCTGTGAGCTCGTCCACAAACCTAAGCAATAACGAAAAAAAAAAAAAAAATCGAATTGTAACGTTAAAGTAGAATAAAAGAGCTCCGAACCGAAGTGCACGATATCAGCTGTACCAGTAGGTACGAGTCATAAATAGAGTGCAATGCTTGCTAGTGCAAACCCACTGACTCATATTGTATTCTTGAAGTGTATGTACTATGTATTACCAACTTGACGCATCGTAAAGACCAGATCCAAACTTTATCATAATAAAACCGTAATAAGTACAGGGAAACGATGTAAAATAGAGTTAGTGACCGACTGCACTTGTAGAGCGACCACACGCGACCAGCGCGCTGTGTACAAGTGGACATTGAGCACTCGTGTTGCTCTGATACATCCAGCATTCGTTTCTATTAGCTCTGTTCAACAAAGCTAAACAACGTCAGCTTCATTTTAATTAAATACTGAATATTTTAATTATTGTATACGAAACAGAATTTCGTTCTGTAAACTCAGTGCTATTAATCTAAGTGCAAACACGTATGTATGTTTTTTTTTATTGCTCTTGTAGGCAGACGAGCATACGGCCCACCTGATGGTGAGTGGTTACCGTCGCCCATGGACTTCAGCAATGCCAGGGGCAGAACCAAGCCGCTGCCTACCGGTATGTATTGTTTTATACTTAAAATATGTTTAACTTACTACGCTAAGAATCAGATTTCAATAATATGCCCCCTTACAGTCATGAAGTCGCAGTCTCCAGAGGGAGAACGAATAATTCCCACGATGCAGTAAAGAGCCTTGAGAAATTAACGGCGCATTTAATTTCTCTTGAACCAAAACAAATGAGTGACTGATATCATTACACGCGCTCTTTGTATTGTTTGTATCGCGATGATTGTTGGCTCTCGATGGTTATTTTGTTCACTTATGGGTATTTAGCGATGATTTGATTTGACTGATTCGGTGGCATGGTATTTAGCGCCTCTGACTATTAAGTCGAAGAGCGCGGATTCAATTCCCAAATTGGGCAAATGTTTGTGTGATGAATATGTTGAAATTTATTCATATATCTGAACGTATATAAGTATTGTACATACAAACGTCTCGCAATTTGGGCCCGGTTTCATACTGATTTTATAATTTATAGACATACCTTTAAACAGTACAATGAGAATGTATCTCACTTTATCTATATATTAATACGTGAAGCAAAAACTTTGTATCCCTTTTTACGAAAATTGCGCGGACGGAGGAGTATGAAATTTCTCACACTTATAGAGAATATAGAGAAGAAGTGCACAATGCTAATATTTTTTTTAAATAATGCATAAAAGATAGATTAAATCAATAAATAAAACATTACACACACTACATACCATGTATTTGACGCACACACGTATGCATACTATTTATTGTCAAACTTTTGTTCTTGACGTCTGTTGTCAAATTGAGAATAGATTAAATATTGTTTGTCTTTGTTAATATTTTTTATAGTGTAGTCTTGGCGAAATTTGTGATTATAGAAGTATAAATACAATCATAATAGTGTACAAACTTACAATTCTAATTAATTATAGTCGAATTTTGACTACTGCGGGACCTCTAGTACCGCATTAAAATGAAAGGTTCTTGTTATGTTTGGAACACGGAGTGTTTTCTGTCATTTAATGCACGTGTCAGTTTCGCACATTTTCACATTATCATAGCTATTTCTAGATTTTATTGTTCAAATCATAATTAATTCGTAATTGAATTTTCGTACAACTTACTTTGCAAAACGTTGAGATTTGGTTAGTAGCACGTGTGCGAAATAGTTTTACCAAAAACATATTTAAATACGGCTTTTGTTCTTGTCACCTATCACTCTTTAATTTATATACGGAATATAAAAATATTGGTAATTTTTGCTTCCTCAAGTGATTACACACAAAATGCAGTAAATTAATTCTTGCAGAAAATAAATATATTGAAGTGAATCGTTTAACTTTTTTATTTACAAGCATTTATTAATAATAGTGAAAAGTAGATAAATTTTATCTTATATCTTTAAACGAGCAATTCTTGTATATAAATATATATATATAATCTGAATTTCGGAAACGGCTCCAACGATTTTCATAAATTTAGTATACAGGGGATTTCGGGGGCGATAAATCGATCTGGCAACGATTTATTTTCAGAAAATGTTGTTTTATTCGTGTTTTCATTAATGAACTTTATCGATGATCAACTTAAACATAAACTTTTTTATTTGAAAAAAAAAAACAACAAATAATATAATATCAATATGTAATTCGTATTTAAATATAATTTCTAAAAAACACAATTTACAAAAAAAAACGAGCAAAGCTCGGTCATTATCTAGTAACATTTAAATAAAAAAGTCATGTCTCGAGAGAGGATGTGCTGCTATTCTTATGTCCCGCTACATCACATTTCACCGAAATGAAGAGCAGGAGCACAGTTCTCATGTCTCTGAGGGTGAATTCAGTGAAATAGGTTCAAATAATCACAAAAAATAATAATAATTTGTAACAAAACAGTTAATATTTTTCGTGTTCAATTAATGATAACAAAAGTAAAAGACAAAAATGGAAACGCTACTAGCTCTTATAAATTGTGCAAATTTATTGAATCCAATGCTATTGTTGCTATAATAATATGTATATATGAAACTAAGCAAAAATGTTGTTGTTTTTGCTAATAAATTAAAAGAAATGTAAAATGTAAAAACGTGCACTTCAGTAGTGATTAATTTTTAAAATTTAGTTTCCCGCTCGTATTTCTATTGCTATACATATTACATGATTACATGCCGGTGCTGTTGCTTTCATTTAAATATTTTTGGTGGTCATACACCATGTTACACAGTGGTTGGTGATAGCCTACCGTGACTGGCACACCCTGAAATAGAGAGGATCAAGCTACTGAACTAGATTTACTTATAAAATTGGTAATAATGAAACTCTACTTTGACTGCAGGTATGATGGTGAACAGTGACTGCACATTAAGGTGAAACGGGACGACAACCACTTACAAAGTAGGTTCAAAATGAATATCATATACTAGCTCATACAATACCTATTTACAATTGTAAATATGTACAAAAAAAAATAGAGACTTCGGCCTTATAGCTTAGGGTTGGGGGTGGCATCTACTGCGGAACCTATGTGGACTCCGGGATCCGATAGTCAAGCCCGCTGAGCTCACCGGATCTTCTCAACGGGTCACGATTCCGATCCGGTAGTAGATTCATTCGCGAAGCACCTTATCTTGAGGTTAGATAAGGTGCTAGATTGTATTATTTACTATTTCTAATTTTTGTTGTTTTAAATTTACCAGGATGGGCGTGATAAACACAATGTTCGCACGAGAGAAAGTGTTCCTGACACATCATTTTATTCGCAGATGGTGGAGTCTCAATTGTCGGACTCTTTCAATCTAGACGGCATCCTTAGTGAGCTCGGCAGCTTCGGGAAGTACCAGTTGCTATTCTTACTACTGCTATCATTCAGAGATTCCTTCCTGGCGATGTGTAATTTCAATTATGTATTCACCGCTGATGAAGTGAAGTTCAGGTTAGTAGGTTATTTATTTTAGAAAAAAATATTGAGATTTAGAAAACAACATTAGCTTAAGGCTAAACTTCCTAATATAATTTGTTAAACAAAATGGCGGGTATATCTGTTCAGTAGAGCGCGCCCGTCCTATGTTTTTCCGTTTCGAATCTAAATAACCTAATAAAAATATTGTGGGCGTGGCCCCTACCTGCTTGATAAATGAATTTCCTTACGAATTTGCAATTTATAATTTATAGCGACTAAGGAAAAATGCATATTCAATTACTGGTAATAATTATTTACCATAAATGATTACTATAAAAAGGTTTTGCCCGTAATTTAGTCTTTACAACCTAATTGATCATAAAGTTTTCCTTTTATTAAAAGAAAACAATATACATACATATAAATAAATATTGTAATATCTGTTTGCAAAGACAAAATAAGAGCTTTTTATTAAACTCATGTGAAATTATACCCGATGCTTACAATAAAAGCATTTTTATTTCATTTTTGCCCGCCAGTCTTTCAGCTTGCTCCATCTAATTTCGCAAACGGTTTTCTTTTCCTACCTATGCTGATAGCCTTGAGAGGCTATTTCAGCTTCGCCCTAATATGTAGGTGAGCTACGGGGCTCAAATCTAACGACGTTGCTAACACTAGCTCTAGCAGGAGCAATGCTTCGCAGAATCTACCACCGGATGGTAAACGCGACCCACCGAGAAGATCCGGCTAGAAACTCAGTGGGCCGCAAAGGGCTTGACTGATTTCATTGTGACTTTTACTGACAATTCGCTGATATCATAGGTCATAGATATCATTCGGGGCTTTAAGAGAAATATGATTTTCTTAAAGATAAAAATATTTATAAAGCCCCATTAAAATAGCAAAGCAAAGAACACCGGCACACACGCATCGCTCGATCCGAGTGCACCGGGCGTCTTATCCACGGCCGTTTAGGCCCCGATGACTCTAAACAAGCTCTGACAAGTTTCCCCGATTGAACGTTAACAATTTACTTTGGTCGTCAGTACAATATTAGAGCTGTTTGTTTGGGTCATTAGCGTACGTTTTTTAAAAACAATTATTGACGACATCGCTTATATACAACAGTCACGCTACTGTTATTTCTAACCGTCCGCAATTTGAATTGATCTGATTTCAACCAAACATTTCTGTGTTATGGATTCGTTAAGTCGCCGTAGCGTGTCATGATTACATTGGACGACACGCGCACTCACGCGCACTGCACAGCCTGCGACGCAACAAATCATTTTTTTCTTGTTCTTACTATACTAGACGCACCCCGCGGTTTTACTCGCCTTAAATTTGTAATTCAGCCGCGGTAAAGGTTGCTAGTGTGACTCACTTGTCCATAAACTAACAAAATATTTGTAGATTCGTCGATAGGTAAAAACAAGAAACAGCGAAAGTGCTATTTTATTTATGATAGCAGTTTTTTTTTTTTTTTTTTTTTTTNTGTGTGGACGAGCTCACAGCCCACCTGGTGTTAAGTGGTTACTGGAGCCCATAGACATCTACAACGTAAATGCGCCACCCACCTTGAGATATAAGTTGTAAGGTCTCAGTATAGTTACAACGGCTGCCCCACCCTTCAAACCGAAACGCATTACTGCTTCACGGCAGAAATAGACAGGGCGGTGGTACCTACCCGCGCGGACTCACAACAGGTCCTACCACCAGTAATTACGCAAATTATAATTTTGCGGGTTTCACTTTTATTACACGATGTTATTCCTTCACCGTGGAAGTCAATCGTGAACATTTGTTGAGTACGTATTTCATTAGAAAAATTGGTACCCGCCTGCGGGATTCGAACACTGGTGCATCGCGCTCAACGCGAATGCACCGGACGTCTTATCCGTTAGACCACGACGACTTCAAAAATATACCCGATGCTTAAAAAGCATCATGAATTAATCCAGTTTATAAGCTGTTGGCTGTGTGGTTGGCCTTAGTACCACCGCATCTCTTCTCTGTGGCTGTCGTACAAAGCGACTAAGGGATTCAACGGGGAATGGGGAGCGCCGTCCTCCGAGCATTGTATCAGTGTACTGCCATCGTCAATCGGCTTTTACTAGTGGTAGGGTATATTGCGAGTTCGCACAGGGAGGTACTTTAATTCTGCCTTTTCTGCCGTGAAGCAGATATACATTCAGATTCGAATGGTGGAACAACCATTAAGTATACAATACTATTGAGCCTGCGATCTCATGTGTCAGGTAGGTGGCGATATTTACGTTGCGATTTAAATGTCAGCTCTACCTTGGCTCCACCATTTCGGTACTAAATATACACTTTACATCAACAGATGCGCAATACCAGAATGCGATACACCAACTCCAAGTTTCAACGCTACCTGGACATCATTCGCGTTGCCGAACACAACCGATACCTGCTACAGAATGGCGCCTCTGCTAGAAGATCGGTTCAATAGAACAGGACAGAACGTGCAGTCGTTACCTAACAAAGCGGACCCACCGTACACCTGCAGCCCTGAGTACTTCGACGCGAACAGAACATTGCGCTGCGATAAACTAGTGTACGAGGATTACAATAGCATTGTTGCTGAGGTTTGTAAACAAACGCTCTTGTTTTCCTTAGCTCTGACTAGCTGACCTCAAAAAAGATGATTTTTTTAACAGAATCGTACTGGTTTGCTTCGGTTTCTATGATTTCTAACGTTCTCGATGCCGATTTGGCTTCTTCGAAGTCACTTAGAAGTTGGACATCGCTCCACTCCGAAGGTCCCAAGAGTCTCCCTTGAATGCAATGGTTGATGTTAATATTGAAACTACTTTTATATTTTCTGTTTTTTTTCCCAACCTAGAGAGGGATCACTAGACGATATCTTAGCTTTCCCACCCATTGGAGCAAATTTACCTGTTCTAAATCTAAATTAAGTAACCTACTTAATTTAGATTTAGATAACAGGCCCGCAACCGTTCTGCATTGTAGCATTCAACGTGTAAACAATTAGTTAGTTAGCTGCCAGGCATGAGGTCTCCCGAGTCCACTGTAGTGACGTGCAGACGTCCCTTAGGAACCTGTAAGCAACAGAAGTAGTCCAGTCACTGGGCGGCAGCCGCGCTCAACTAAAAGACGCGTGCTCCCACTGCCTAAACGCTAAGACAACGTAGACACATAATACTTTCCTAGTTGTTACTTTTAGTGGTTAAACTTGTACGGCTTAATACGAAATCTAGCACGTCCCTTCATTATTCCTAGAGATACGTACGCAAGTCCGATGACAGTCTGGCCCATAGTGCGAAAGAGAAGGCTGACCTTCTGGTCAAACTCTTCGCCTCGAACTCGACTGTGGACGACGGGGGTGCCACACCACCGAACATCCTCCGGTGTGATAGTTCCCTGCCGGAGATCTGCTTTACACAGTGTGCAGTCAGGCGGGAACTCCGACTCCTGGACGTCCATAAGTCGAGCGGGCNAGGGCAATAAAAAAAAAAAAAAATACGTAGCTGTAGAGTTGAAAACTTTACAAAGCTGAAGACGGGGATGATATTCAAATAGCTTGGGCTGTAAATACACTGGAACTCATGCATCAGCTCGCTGAGTTTGTCGCTGAATCTTTCCAGCAGGTCGCGATTCCGTTCCGGTAGAAGATTCATCCGCGAAGCAACTGCTCTCGAGTTGTTAGGTCTCTTTTGGAGGCGCTCGGGTAGCTGTTATCAAATCCCACCCCTTCTGGCTGAGCCTTTACTCGCTCACCTGTCCTGGTGAAACTGGAAAGGCCTCTAGGTCACAAGTAATCATTCAATCATAAAAAAAATATACTGAATCACTCGCCTGCGCAAAAACAAAAAAATTTGGATCATAAATTTTTGTTTTTCATTATTTTCAAAATGGATATACTCAAATGTACGTCCAAAATATGTAGAATAACTGTTTTTACTTTTAAGGCTTTTAAGGATGCGCGGATCAGATGCACACAGAGCGGTGCCGGCCCGCGCACTCGCGTGCTACAGATTTCATTAGATGCCAGTTGATGTGTTTTCTAATTGCCTTTTACATTTGTACGAAACACTTGACGTAGGTTCTTACTCATTAAAATTAAATTAAGAATACAGCCGTGCATTATTTAGATATTTATGTGAGATTCGATATGTACAATCATTATTATTCAATTATTCTAAATTTATTTTGATAGTACACTATCAGAACACTATCAAAATAAAATTGAGTTGCTAGTTGGTTTAATAATTCAGGTGACAATTATCATAACGTAATAAGTTACAAACATTTTGTATTGGTCTCTGTCTGGTACTCTGTCGCGTATAACTTTAGAGACAGTATTGGATCCTCTGGGTCTCTACGGAGGCACTTCGAACGTCCTGTCTTTTGTAGTTTATCTTTCAAGACACCATTTTTATTTTAGCATCGTACATTTAAGTACTATCCGGCATTGGATTGACATTTTTTTCAATTTTTTAATGCTTGAACGACCTCACTGTCCGCCTGGTGTCAAGTATTGGAGCCCATAGATATCAACAACGTATATGGCACCACCCACCTTGAGACATGAGTTCTGAGTCTCAATTCTATAGTACAACGGTCGCCCAAGACGAGAGTTGAGGATATTCTTTAACCCTAGGGCGCTGCCTTCGCTGCTTAACTATGTCCCTGGCATCGACATTGACATCCACGAAAGAGGGTGATCACCCACAAGCAGGTGGGTCTGTGGCAGTATGCTCGTCTGTGCATGAAAGCAATAAAAAAATGGCTATAATTTTGCGTTGGAGTCGACAAGTAAACAGACATTTTAAAATAGCGGTAGTTATTCTAATAGCCGGCCTCGCTACAATGCTCAGAGTGGCTCTGATGGCGCACTCATGGAGGATAATTATCATGTATTACAGGTAAATGTGGACGAGCTGATTGAAACGTGACAGAAACTGTCATGTCATGCGCTCATCGCAATCTCTTGATGATACATTTTGTTTTTAATTTGACATTCGCTGTTTACATTTTTGGTGTCGTCACGATAGAGATGCGTGGATGTTGGATTTCATTGGTGTAAGTTTTGACGAGTCCGCTGTCACAAACCACAGCCATAACATCGTGGAGGATACTGCCTCTTGTAGCAAATAAGTAGTTTTCCTTTTTATTTATTTTCACTCCGAGATACGCTGGTGTAGTTTGATATGCTTGGGAATAAGGACTGTTCTTCCATCCGAACTGATATTATTATGATTGTTTCATGGTTAGCGGATAGAAGCGAATAAGGAAGTAAATACGGCAATATAACATCACCACATACTACCCCCATCTGGGGGTGTAGATTGAAAATGTAGAAAGCGAATTGCCTAAAATCAAGCATCTGATCCCTGTGAAGGTATAATTCCCCAACGGGACAAGGGTTTGCTCTTACCCCCAGTGAGCCCACGGCTTCTACTACCGGTAATGTTAGTCTTTCCGGCTCTTAGGATGGAACCAGCCCAGTCAAGTACTGTATTGGTTTTACCACCAAGAAAGAAAGGCTTCAATATTTAAAAGCTAATTAACATTTATATTTACTCTTTGCCTACAGTATATTTGAATGAGTAAAACTTGTATTGAAATTTACAGTTTGACCTCGGCTGCGAACCTTGGAAGAGGACGATGATCGGAACAGTCCATAACCTGGGATTAGTCTTCTCGTTTATCATATCCGGGATCATATCCGACAGGTTAGTGAAATATCTGAAATTCGTGAAAATCCTTCAAAATATTTTTTCTTCTGTGTATGTGAAAAAAACAGCTTAAAATCATTTGATCCTCGCGAGATGTTTACGATAAATATGTCTTGTCAATACATATGCTTGTCTATTGTATTTTTGTGTTGTGAATGGTCTATTGAATTGTACTTGTAGCCAACTGACACAGAAATACGAATACTGCGACCCAGCCGGACAGTAGTCTGTTCGTTAGACATTAAACTCTGGAAGATCTTACAACACATCATAATTATAATATTATTTTCGACTACGAACAATTGGTACGGATACCCTATATTTCCGATCCTGCGGAACGAATGGTAAACAGTCAACGTCGCCCAAATCACATAATTTCGGATCCTCCCGATCCACTAACGGTGCTTTTGGGTACCCCAAGCACCGGTCATCGTTCTCGTCAAACCCGTCGCTTGCGACGAAGGGCTCGGCGAGTAAATTAACCCACAGATACAGCCCACTGAGTTTCTCGCCAGATCTTCTCAGTGGGTCGCGTTTCCGATCCGGTTGTAGATTCTCCGAAGGACGACTCTTGCTAGGGTTCGTGTTAGGAACAACATCAGGTTTGAGTCCCGTGAGCTCACCTACTAGCCTGGTGACGCTGATATGGTCTCTCAAGACCATCAGGTTAGGTAGGAAAAAAAAGATACCCTATCACAGAGAAATATCTTTATTTTCTAGATACGGCAGGAAGGTGATAATCGTTGGCACGCCACTGGTGGTCGGTGTGGTCGGGCTGGTCAAATCGTTCTCAGTTAAATACTGGATGCTGCTCGTCCTCGAGTTCTTTGAGACGGCTTTTGGCTACGGAAATGCTTCGATGGTTTTGTGTAGGTTTTTAATATTATTCTAGAAGACACAAAAACGTCAGCGCCTAATGACACGAGTGACGCGGCGATGGTTGCGTCTAAGTATAGGGTGTATGATACGTCCGTGCTGATCTGATATAAATGTTTGCTAGAACTGCAAGCGGCAGGTAGGTTGAGAGGCAGTTCATCTAGAGGGATAGAGAACATTGCCGGTCACGCCGCGGGTGCTTAATGAGTACCCTGCAATAATTGCTTGCGTCTGCGACCTACATGACCTACATGACTCTGAATCGAAATATAATAACATTTTCTTGTTCGTTATCAAATTCCAAGATAAGAAATTGAAAACATCACTCCAACCGTAATATTAACACAGGCTTAAAACTCTATCAATTTATGGCAGCAGTATTACAACAAGAAATTAATGTTTTTTTTATTGCTTAGGTTGGTGGACGGGCTCACGGCCCACCTGGTGTTAAGTGGTTACCTGAGCCCATAGACGCCTGTAACGTACATGCCGCCACCTACCTTGAGACATAAGTTCTAAGGTCTCCGTTTTTACAGTACAACGGCTGTCCCAACCTTCAGACCGAAACGCATTATTGTTTTGACGGTAGAGAATAGGCAGGGTCGTGGTATCTACCCGTGCGGACTCACAAGACGTCCTACCACCAGTAAATGTGTAATGTTTCTATTATTGTTACAGCTCTAGAAATGGTAAGCCAGAAACGCCGAGTCATCTTTTCATCAATGTCAGATGTCCTGTGCAGTCTAGGAAGCGCGTTTTTCGGGTTGATAGCCTGGATGGTGCCTTACTGGAGACATCTCATGTGGGCCATATACGCTCCCTTACTCGTGGTAGTTTTTTATATATTCCTGATCGACGAAGGCGTGAGATGGTTACTGGTCCACAACAGGAAGGACGAGGCCGTCAGAGTCCTGCACAAAGTGGCCAAGTTTAATAACATAACACTCTCCAGTAAAGCTACAGACATGATGACTAAAATAACAGAGAGGAACAAAACTAGTCAGGTAAGCTGTTACCATCAACATGTTTCTTGAAACTTTTTAATTTTTTATTGTATACCTGGGAGGACGAACGAGCTCATAGCCCACCTGGTGTCAAATGGTCGCCGGAGCCCATAAACATTAACCACGTCTCATGTCTCAAGATTTGCGGTTATACTATAATAAGTCCTCATTTTTACAGTACAATGGCTGCTCCGACCTCAAATCTAAATGGCAGAAATAGGCAGGGCGGTGGTACCTATCCATGTGAGCTCACAAGATGCCCTACCTCCAATAATATCTATTAAAGAAAGAGAATAACCATATCTCTCCTTTTTAACACGTATATTTCTTTCAGACAGAGCCACCAGTTGAACAAGAGAGACTCCATCTCCTTTCTCTTCTCAGTTCAAAGAAGATCATCATTAGGGTGGCTATCATTTCGGTGTCGTTCATCTGTTGCACCTACGTCTACAATGGCACTATCATCACCTCGACCAGTGTACTCGGCAACAAGTACTTGAACTTCTCCGCTCTCCATCTGGTGTCAATCCCAACAAGACTGCTCACTGCGTACACCTTCACGAAGTTCGGAAGGAAAATACCTATTTGCGTCGCGTACTGTTTGTGCGCGGTCTTCTTCGTTGCTTCAGCGTTCGTCCCAAAATGTAAGTTTACTTATTCTGCATATCATACATAACATGCAGACCATAACCATTGTTTGGTCAGGGCAGTCAGTGCAACGAGATAAGAATTTGAGTGTTTTTATTGTTTTAAATTATATTTACTTGTTGTTATATATTTCAGTTTATTATATTTGATGTAGATAAAACTTTATTTACAGGGAATATTAAAGTTTATATAGATACGCCCCCAACTGGCTTAGGCCATAGACACAGCCGACTGAATTTCTCGCCGGATCTTCTCAGTGGGTCGCGATTTCGATCCAGTGGTAGATTTAGTGAAGCACTGCTCTTGCTGGGGCCATTATTAGCAATGCTCTCAGGCTGAGCCCATGAGCTTACTACCAATCAGCGCATAGTTGGAATAGCCTCTTAGGTTAACGACGATTAGGTACCGGAAAAAAGCCTAATACTTACAAATAACACACTAGTTTTCCAGTGCCACTAAGTAATTTAGTTTGGTAGTTCTGATTCACTTTTCTTTCTTCTTCTTCTTTATTCTTTATTTGTACACACTGTTAATAAAATACAGTAATTGGGATAAGATATAAAAAAATGGCGAGCTTATCTCAACAATTGAGTTATCTACCAGCTAACCGTTCTCAAAGAAGGAAAGCTTTACATTAGTGGATAGATGAGTACAATCTAATTAGCAATAAAAATAACAAAAATAAACTTTTATTATTGTTACTATAATGTTTCAACTGGCCCAACGTCTACAGAGAATCGTAGCTCTCGACAACAATGACTCTTTTCGTTTCTCAATTCACTTGTATTTATTCCAGCCTTCTACTGGGTCTCAACATTGCTGTACTTAGCGGGTAGGATGTGTAGTAGTTACGGAATGTTCAGCATGACCGTGGTAGCTATGGAAGTATTCCCTACTAAGTCAAGAAACTCTCTCACTAATGTCGCCAACACCATCGGCAGGATTGGATCTATTTTAGCACCACAAGCACCATTACTGGTAATGTTTGGCTTATTCACTAAGTTAATTTGGAGTACGAATGGAGTTAGTAATCTATGAGATAGAATTTGGAAACATTTAGGTAATATTAAATAATGTGTGGGTTGACGAACAAAGTACCTCGTGTGTTCGTATCAAGTGTTGCCACTACTAGCTCGTGCTTAAGATGAAACGAACAAAGAGTAATATTTTGGCTTAAATTAATAAGCTTCAATATCTAAAGTATGTTAGATGTTAGGGCACTACGCACACGAGTATTGTCCACCCCCACGGCTAGACCCTGTCCACATATACCGAGAAACCATCGCATGCTTTTGTAAAAGGGTGACAGAACCGTTACTCATGTTAATAATAATTTATGGTGCACGCTACAAAAGGTGAACTGCGAAATTAGGCTTAGACCCGTTAAACTCCATTTCCCCAGACCCTGGATGAAAGTTGCGCTCTAACGAAAATTTATGAGTCTGGGTATAAGCAAATCCCCTATTGTTAAGGTAGGTCGGGGCCGAAATCACGATGATACAATGACCGGAGTCCATATTATGCATGCTTTGCATCTTAAATGTTAACCCTCCCAGAGTTTTACAATCAGAATCTCAATTGTATCCTTCCGTCTGGTCCAGAATATCTATATCATAATTTGGACACCAGACAAAGAGAAGAACTGCTACTGAGCAAGTGTTTTGGTTTGTCAGTCAGGCGGTCAGAATGTTGTTGTTTGGAGCTTTATATTTGCAATTCTTATATTATCATATTCTTATATTACCACAAACAAAACTTAAATGTCTCTTATCTCAAATAAAAACATTATTTCCAGGAAAAATACATGAGTGGTCTCTCGAGCATCATTTTTGGAATAGTATCTTTGGGACCAGCTTTACTAGCATTCCTACTACCCGACACGAGTAAGGTTTCTCTACCAGACGACATCACAGAAGCAGAAAACTTAGACGTACGGCCGGAAGAATCTGACCCTACATGTAGTGTTCCTGCAAGTGGGGAATACAGGGAACGGTTTTGAGATCACTACTCTTGTTTTAAGATTGGTGCGATCTTTGAAAGTATACTTGAGGTGCAGCGAGTATGCACATGGAATAGGATTCGGTATTGGTGGTAGCCCATGCGTGTAGACAACAGTATTTTACTCGTTTCTTCTCAAAAACTCATATTTCCTAACTTAAATAGTTCGTTAAACGAAAAGCAATATATATGGAGATCATCTAACATCTCCAGATAGTAATGACCTTCACATTGCATTGTCATTCAAATCTTCTTGTTCTTCTTTTTCTCCGCGTTATCCCACTAGATGAGGGTTGGCACAGCGAATTTTTCTATTCCATACTCTTCTATCAGCCGTCATCTCAACACTCACTCCTCTCTCTCTCTCTCATATCGTCATTCACACATTTCATCCATGTTTTCATCGATCGACCTCTTCCCCCTCTACCTTGCACTACCATTTCCGTACACCTTCTAATCACATGCATCTCCTCTCTACGCATCACATGTCCATGGCATGCTAACCGTCCGCTCTTTAACCCTTAATTCGACGGATTGTTTTTTTGAATTTAATTTGCAAAATCGTTCCAGATCTTGATTCTTAGCTTCTAAGAGACCCTAAAAAAAATAATTAAAAAAATATAACTTTTTCAGTTTCCTGAAAAATGTACGTCCATTATACTGGACGCAATCAAGTTTAAAGGAAACTACTGCACTCCTACCATGTGCAGTATAGCTCCCACTGTCAATGGGAAAGAATTAAAGAAACAAGTAATTTTTTCATAAAATATTCATTTATATTCTCCTTAGGAACATTACTATTAGGAACAAGTCACTTATATTCTGTACATGGAGATTAATGTACATAAACCTTTTTCGATAACTGACTTGGTGGTTGAACTGACCTTCGTTTTTGCGTCAATTCAACCGCCAATCTTTGTCTGAGCTTTTTCAGACTAATATTTTTAGGCTCTTTTTGTTGCATTTCCTCTTATAGAGAAGCCAAGCACTATTAACTGCCATATCTAACATTTGGCCAGAAATATTCATGTACCAACGTCGGCTTTTGAAAGATATTCTATAGAGAGCTATCAGCATGTCGCACAGGTCGACTCCACCCATATTATGTTGATTATAATATCGAACTAATTGTGGACATGGGACACCCACTTTCTTTTTCTATTCTTTACTCCATCTCTTGATTTCATGAACTGGGTAAGATTCTACATAAGCCAATGTTAGAACTTTATTATCGTACCATTTGACAGCTGCTATCCTTTTGTCGTTGTCTACGACTTGGCTAAACGAACCTCTGCCTCTTTTCTTTAGTTACTTGTCACTTAACAGGCCATTGATGCAACCTTTCAGTCTATTTTGTCATATGGTTCCGAGACTGAATATTCCTCGGTGATCACGTATATACCAGATCAAGTCGGCCGTCAAGAAAAAATTATCGAAATATACAGAACATCCTGGAATCTGAATTGTTTTACAAAGGGCTAATACCATTTTTGCACCCAGTGTCATCTGCTGTTCCTCCTCCCTAAAATAGATTTACCGAAAAGTGTCAACTTCCGGTACATCTATGTTAACAAGTTCTTGAATCCCCATTTATTGGGTTTCATAAGATTATTCTGCCTCCGGTTTTCTGCTTTAGTGCTCTTGTATGGTATGGCTATTTCTTCTATACTATACTTCATTTCTTCTTTTGTCGAAAGGCAGTTTCTTCTTATTTTTTCAATGAACGGATGTATCTTGTAATACCGGTCCTCATCCGGATAGGTGTTGTCCACAAAATGAATGTTGCGTCTAATGTGCTCGAATCTTTTTAATGGCATGATGTCGGCTACTTAAGCGTATTTGAATTCTGTAGACAAATAAGAAGATAAGAAGGCACTTTCACTATACCCATGATAAGAAGATTTTGTATCTAGTTATCAACTAATTTGGCAAAGTGAAGAATACTGGACATAATATTAAGCTGTTACTTTATTAGTAAATCGATATTGGGAAACATACTGTACGTAGAAGTTGCGAGCGTTATAACAACTAAATAAAACTTAGTTATACAATAAAAATATTGTAAGTAGCTATCCGGGTATCTTATCTTTAGTTTTCAATAAATTCCAAGAAAAAAAAGCCGTAAAATAATGAATAAAACGCGACTTACTGAAAGCCCTCGCGGCACGTCCTTCCTTACTGTCATATAGCCGCCGATTGTTCGCGTCCAGATCAAGTGCACCCGTTGCTGATTTTTGACCACGTAGTTAAATAATTAAGGATGCCTTATAGCACCCAGAGCACTGAATATATGGTATATTTTAATATGCAGTTTTTTTTTCCATTCAATGGGAAGTATACCGCACATAGTCGAATTAAGGGTTAATTTGTCAATCACATCATTGTCATTCAAATAATAGCTGTAATTTAACCTTGAAATTTGATGCGTGTGATAGCTTCCTTACAGAAATAGACAGGCTAATGGAGTCAGTCTGTGCAAGCTCAGTGTGCGCCCCAGGCAACTCCGCCTAATATTCATACAATTGAACGCTCGATTGATTAGTTCTCTGTAGTAGTAATTATGATCTATTGTTCCTTACGGCGGCTCCTACTAGCTACCACACAGTGAGTGATGGTACCTGCGATATTTTTAAGTTACTCTGGGTAAAAGTATGTTAATAAGTTAAGTCATATTATTAAGGTATTGTTTTTTGTTTATTTAATAAATTTTATACGAATTCAGTTATGTATTATTGTATTTCTTTGTCAACTTATATATTAGTTGGTGGCCCACCTGATATGAACTTTTTTATTTATTGTTTAAATGGACGAACGAGCTCACGGCCCACCAGGTGTTAAGTGGTTACCTGAGCCCATAGACATCAACAACGTAGATGCTGCCACCCGCCTTGTAACATGAATTTGAAAGTCTCCGTATTTACAATAAAATGGCTGCCCCACCCTTTAAACCGAAACGCATTACTGCTTCACGGTAAAAATAGGCAGGGCGGTGGTAGCTATCCGCGCGGTCTCACAAGACGTCTTACCAGTAATTACGCAAGTTATAATTTTGCGGGTTTGATTTTTATTACACGATGTTATTCCTTCACCGTGGAAGTCAATCGTGAACAATTGTTAAGTACGTATTTCATTAGAAAAATTGGTACCCGCATGCGGGATTCGAACACCGGTGCATCGCTTCAACACGAATGCACCGGACGTCTTATCCTTTAGGCCACGACGACTTCAAAACATTTAACATTGGAGTCAGCTAACATAATACTATATTGCCGTTTTATATTTATTTATTTAATTTTGTAAGGCACACAATACACATCACAAGATAGAAAGATACAATACATATCTGCCTTGCAACATAAGCTATATGTGTACGAAAAAAAAAAAAGAAAGAAAGAACAAGAAACTCCGTCAAAATAATCTTAATTCTCTTCAATGCTGTGTCTAGGTACCACCGCCTCGCCTATTTCTGCCGTGAAGCAGTAATGCATTTCGGTTTGAAGGGTGGGGCAGTCGTTGTAACTATACTTGAGACCTTAGAACTTATATCTCAAAGGTCGGTGGCGCATTTACGTTGTGGATGTCTATGGGCTCCAGTAACCACTTAACACCAGGTGGGCTGTGAGCTCGTCCACCCATCTAAGCAATAAAATATATATATATATTATGCAGCAATAACATATTTTATGTAGAACAATATTTCTGGCAAGCCTTGATGTATATTTTAAAAACTATTTATTATAACACAACAACGATATTTAATTTACAACTAACGTTATTTTTAAAGAAAAGAAATAAAACAATCTATATCATTCATAAAATCTATATTAATTAGACTATAATTTATAATTTAAACTAAAACATTTATACAAAGTTTAGTATGGTGCCTCTAACCTAGGCGGCTGCTATACAGTGGAACAAGCTTTCAAGGAAAAGCGACTTATTCAATGTATTTGAACTTTGTTTCTTAGAAAAAAAAGAATTCTTATAAAATCCATTTAATCTCAGTCAGCTAGTTTCAATCGGAGCTTAAATCGGTTCGGTCTCCATAATTATACATTTATATAATAAATATTTAATGGCTCGCTAACTTAATATTTCTGTAACATTACAAACTTAAAATAACTTAATTAAAGGCTTGTCGTGCTAAGATCTATTCTTTTTGAGCTTGGGACTCTGGTCTGCCTAGGGCTTCTGCTTCCGCTAAGGTGTCAGGCATCTTAGTACCTAGAGTCTCTGGCTGCGTGAGGACAAGGATACCAGAGAGGAATCCCATGGCTCCAAACATCATGGAGGGAATACCGGCCCAATACTGCATCTGTACATGGAAAAGTTTAATTTTAAAGCAATTAATAAAAATGTATGAAACTTTAAAATCATTATTTGATAACATTAAATGTGCTGTGAGTGGCTGGGCTAGCTACAAACGGACACGCAGCCAAATTCAAGGGCTCCATCAATTTCGAGCATTAACATTTTTCAAACGATCTTCGTGACCTTAAATCACGTTTATCCATCGTATCCATAACGACGTCAAGTCATAAGTTTTGAATGTCAATAAATAACTTTAAGATATAAATAAGGTTGAGATTGTATTCTGCTTAAGGCGTACCTTGCGGACAAATCTGCAGTTGCCTAAGTTTAATAATGGCGCATATGATAATTTTGTTTTCTTATGCGAATAATTACAGTTCGGATAAAAAGTATACTGGGTGCTAATGATTCTATTCTATTTAGTAGGCAGCGGCTTGGCTCTGCCCTTGGCATTGCTGAAGTCTATGGGCGACGGTAACCACTCACCATCAGGTGGGCCGTATGCTCGTCGGCCTACAAAGGCAAAAAAAAAAAAAAATTTTTTTTGTAAAGAGCGTGAAGTGACGTGCTCAAAAAAATTCATGATATAGCAGCTAGTAAAGTGATCACGTAGTCTCAGATTATTAAATTAAATTGAATATATGTAAACTTTCTTCTTGAAAACCTACCAAGACAGGAGTGAGTGGAGCAGTGATGGATCCGATGCGCCCGATCATGGACGAGAATGCGAGCAGGCTGTGTCTGTACTGCGTGGGGTACAGCTCGGACGTGAACAGGTACAGGGATGTGAACACCATGGAGATACCGAATTTTCCAGCCAAGAAAATCACTAGTCGAACGACAGTGTAATCTAAAAGAAATCATAAACTAAACTCAATATTCTATTATTTTAACAGAATCACAATGATATGATATTACTGACTCGTTTTATAACAATAGCTAGCTTTTTCCCGCGACTCCGTCCGCGTGGAATAGTTACTTTGGCATAACGTTAAATTTTACCCCCCACTTCATTTACGTAGAAAGTGAAAATATTTTTGAATTATAGAATGTTAAGGAACCATTTAAACCCCTATTTTGAAACATTCTTTATTGGTCCTCCGCGTATATTACCATGATGTTATAGCCTTCCTCAATAAATGGGCTATCTAACACTGAAACAATTTTTCAAATCGGACCAGTAGTTCCTGAGATTAGCGCGTTCAAATAAACAAACCCTTCAGCTTTATAATATTAAGTATATATATAGTAAAGATTTAGACAACGTGTAGGCTTATAAATGTATGCACGCGTTTGCGCATAAATCCCTGGTTCTTGAGACTGGAGGCAAGGAGTAGGTTGCGTGGTACCACCACTCAGCGGTTCGTGTGCTGTGTATGCTGCATCAGTGTCCACCTGCCGGAGACCGTCGTGGACAGGAGTCATAGCTGTCATGCCGACGCGACAAACGCGATCTCGTGTTTCATGCACCATTTACGGCTCAGTCTATTGACTAGTTAACATGGATCCTGAAGTTGTTTGCACAATTGTGAAATCTACGTCTAAAGTCCGTTTCAAAAAAGACATGAGCCGTGTAATCTGAACGCCCAACTCCACGTGAATTTCTTATCTCATAAATCAGTAATAATCAGTATTTATTGACATAAATCACCAAACCAATCAACCAGACCAATGTTCTAATTCGTGGAAAACATATTTAAGAACCGTTGATAACATCTGATAAAGGTATCGATGCGACCATTCATCAGGATAATGGAGAGGATAATCACGTGATCAAAGTGAAACGCAACAGGTAAGGACAAATAGCACAAACATTATTTTAAATTATAAGATTCTTTCAATAATTTGATATTGTTTTGTACATAATATGTAACACTTTTGTTAGCTTCTTCTGTCCACGTCATTACTCTTTCAACGTAATTTTCACTATTTTCAAGAGCAATTGACTTAAAAACAATCACACGACTCGAAAACCAATGACCATACAAAAATTTGATTACATTCTTCTTATATTTTGACCAAAGTCCCCAAAATAAATAAATAAAATTAAAGGGTGGCTTCCTCTTAAAAAAAGCTTTTTTAACTATGTTGCTTTATGCTGTATGTGCTAATTTGCTATATTTGCTAATTTGAAATTATGTATATTTACTTTTTAGATGTAGATGTTCAAATGTAAGTTAGTGTCTTGTTAACAGTGTCAATGATATGACGACAATTGCTTTAGATCATGACACGTGTACCAGAATAAACAATAAAAGAGATAAAATGATTAATCGTGAACTGACTCACCATCAGGGATAAACGCAAAAGCGATGTTACAGATAGCGCTGAATATGAAACCAACACAAAGAGTCGGCTTTCTGCCGACCCTGTCCAGGACCAGCACCGCTGTGTAGAAGCCGGGCACCTCGATGCCACAGGTTAGGATGTAGTTCAAGTACATGGTGTCCGATAAGCTGGTAGAGTTGATGGACAGGCCGTAGTACACGAAGGTCGTGGTGATCCACCAGATCGGAGTTGTGCACACACGACGGAGTAGGACAGGAGATTTTATTATAGACTTGATCAAACCAGGTCCTTGATCTTCTGTCTGTTGAGAAAATATAATATTAGTTACAAATATAATTAATATTATTTTTTCTCCTCGTGTCATCTCCCTCGTTACTGAAAATCGTGATTCCATCCATCAATGTCATCACGCAGATTGGTGTTAAGAATTGGGGTAAGGTCTTTCATCACATAGGTGAATAGGCAGACAAATCCTCTTTTTCCAGGGACACCTGGACACCTGTGGTGTAGAGTGAATCATAGTTTTCCATAATTTAAGTTGCTGCTATTAGTACTACTACTATAGTAAGACACTATTAGTCCTCGAACTACTAATCCATATTTTAGAATATTTATCAGAGAGGGTAGTAATCACTTTAGATAACAATGAATTTTCCGATCAATTACCAGAAGCTATCAGTCTTCTAACACAAATCAATCACTATGTTATCTATAACATAATATATCACAACAACACAATAATATTCTATAATAATATGTAATCCTTTATTGACGTGGACTAGGTCCAGGGAAATGGCTTGTGCTAATAAGATTGGCCTGTGGTATTTATTATACCACATTCAAACCGCTTCGAAGCTTTAAGCAAGGAAAGCTTTTTTTAGTCTTTCGCTCTTTTATCTCTTAGTTATTCGTATTTAAATCGACGATTAAAATAAACTGTAGGCAGCGGATTGGCTCTGCCCTGGCATTTCTGAAGTCCATGGGCGGCGCTAACCACTTAGGTGGGCCGTATGTTCATCTGCTTACAATGGGCAATAAAAAAATAATAAAATCGATGATACAAAAGACCTAAACATCCAGACATTAAAATAAAAGTTCTTCTAAAATTACTTCTAGATACGATCACCACGTTACCAACACGACTCACCACCAGTGCTCATAGTAGAAACTCGATTATCTATAATAATATTGCAGGCGAATGACATAGACTTAGTATTGGCGGTTTGATGAGGTTCAGAATTCATACCTCTATTTTTAATTAATTAATATCCGAATAAATTTTTATTACAAAAAAATCTATGATCTCTAACATGATTTTTAAGTATCTTCTCAGGTTTCCAAAGCTACTTGACAAACTTGGGTAATTTAACATTTTTGCAACGTATGTTTAAATTTTTTGCGAAAAAAATAGAGTTCTCAATCACGAGGCTCAAGACGTAGAACAGCTCTGGTGTTGAATTGCATCAGCGGCCTACTAAAATTTTAATACAACATTTGCCAACTGTGGATACAAAATCGAAGTCTTTGGGAGTACTATTAATTATCCTAAACTAATAATAATATCAATAAAATATTTACAGATTCAGTTATAAGAGGCTGTGGAGGATTCAGCAGAGCGTTCAAAGACTTTTCACTAATCTCCTTCTTGTTTATTCTCGCAACTCTTTCTAAGACTTGTCGGGCGTCATCGAACTTTCTCTTCGAGAGTAGCCACCTCACACTCTCCGATAGGACCCAGTAGTATGAAATGATCAGGAAGCAGGGGATGTGTAGGGCCATGATCAAGTAGCGCCAGGGCTGTATGAGCCAGGCCACACTGCCTAGAACCACTTGGCCCACAGCAAACATGGAAGTGCACGTTGCGCTGGTCACTACGCGATACTTTGGACCTACGAACTCGGCAGCTGAAAACCAAAAATGGCTCATTCAAATTTTCCAAATGATGGTAATTTTATTAGGTAGGTAATATATGTACGTTTCATAGGTTCTGCACCTTTATTATTTATTAGAATTATTAAAGATGAGTGGTATTTAATATAACAAATGCCAAACACTAGCGCGGTTAAAGTTAGGTACTAAAATGTCTATGTCACAATACTTTGAATTCAATAATATTTACCAAAGATATATGCAGAGCTGAACGTTCCAGCTCCCAAGGTAGTCTGCAAGATTTGGAAGGCGAGATACATGGGATAGTTAACGGAGAATGCTCTGATCAGACCAAAGAGTGCCAAATTGAACACATTGATGACCAAAGCAATTCTTCTCCCGAACCTATCCGAGATGTATCCCGTAATGGGCAGTACCAACAAAGTCCCGACGCTGTTGAGAGTGCCAGCCAGAGCTCGCAGCCATTCTCGGCAACCAAGGTCGAACTGAAAACGTTTTATCTTTGAGTATGAAGATTATATTACATTAATTTGGCAGGTGTTTACAATCTTTTAAGCAAACAAGGTTAATATGACGACTTATCTGATATCGAGTGACCACCAGCAAGCATCTACAATGCCGAGCCCGTGTGTGTGTTGAAGTTGCTGTCATTAAAATTAGCGAAAGGTTTTTTTTTGTAAATTTATCAATTGCTTATTTATCTACGTAAAATACGAAATCTAAATTAAATAAAAATAAAAATTGAAAATCACTCGCCAATCGAACGAGTTAAAATTATACTGATTTATAGCAAGTTATTTACAACGAAGCTAACAAAGTGACTCACATCGTACACTACAGAGTTATCCCTGGCATAGACGAAGCCTTCGCATGGAATAGTATTGGTGTGGAAGATATTCGCCGGGCAGTAGTCTAAGGTTCCATTGGCGTCCCCGACGGGCGCGAACCGCTCACAGCTCTCGAACCCGGAGTCGGTGTGAGGAATGGCATTTGGCAGCCACTCGGGCTCGAAGTAGGAGCGCTGGCTATACTCTCCGCATTCTGGGACTTGACATCTAGACAGCAACGAGTATAATAAAAACGATTGATGTTAGTAAGCAGCTGTTGTAGTTCAGTGAGTGATTATGAATAAGATCTTCTAATCAAATGGCCCGTGAACTCATCTGTTTATTAATAAAGTGAAACGAAAATACATATTTTGACTTTCGATGTAATTTTTCCATCAACGGATTGCTTTTATCATCATTCCGGTGTTCCAATAATCGGATTAACATTACTCGTTTCAATAATAATTTATTAGATAAATATGAGCTGTTGCTACATGCCTGTAATAAATACAATAATAATAAATATCTACCAACTCTTAAATTAGTAACAATTAATACAAAAACATTAAAACTAGAAATAAACAATAATCAGGCTTCCAGCAATCGAGAAACAGAAACAGAAGATCTTCCATCGAGCGGGTCATATTACTGGAACTTGTGTCGTCAGCGTGTCTCAGTTCACTGTACCCTACTCCACGCAGCCACTCGTGAAAGGCGATGCTTTCGACGTATGCCGAATCGACATCACGCTGAAAGAGGAACTGCGCCCTGTACAAGATAGGCTCCTGGGGCAACGGCTTGGGACGACCGGAGGAGCTGAGGCCGCGCGACGCACCACCAACGCTCCATTGCGCCACATAGTTTATATCAACAAGGAGAGACCCGTTTATGATGTATTGCGCTCTGACCCGATAGTCCGGTTCCGGTTCGGCAAGGTATTCCGGAAAAACAGAGGTATCGCAGCGGCAACCTGGCTACGTGGCTGATATTGTTGTTGACAGTGGTCACCCTTCCTACCTCATCCAGATCTTTCTCGAGCAAAGACCTGATGTTCGTGCGAAAATGCAGGAGATCACACCAATCGCACATACCCCGCACATCCCTCTCGGCGGGGGTCTTGTAAGGGGAAACGGCCCTTGGCCCAAAAAATGAAATGTACTAAATGAATGGAGGAAATTCTAGGCCACGGTGATTCCTCGGCGCTGTAATGGGGCGCCTTCAAGCAAGACTTATTGACGAACTTTACGTATCCAGCATCCTGGCTGCATTCTTGGCATACTCGATGCTCTTCCCAAATTTTGAAATACTTACCATCTTTCTTCTCATTTATTAATTATATCTTGAACCACACATACATAGACAACATATATTAGGATATCACTTGAAGACTAACTTGTAGTGACTAAAGTTAAAACCAAACAGATACCTGTGAGGAATAGCAGCAGCAGAGAAGATAAACTCGCTCATGAACGCAGACATGATCAACGGCACAGCCACAAGGAAAATGGTCATGAGCTGGAACCTTCCGAACTGACCCAGTTCGTTGACCAGCACATCGTCCAGATCAATTTGCTTCTCAAATACACTGCCTTTCCTACTTTCCCCCATTCTGACGAATATTTATTACAAAGTTTATTGAGTAAATTATTTAAGTTTTGTTTATTTTTTTAAAAGTCTTGCGTCCGAAACAACTCATGTAATTGAACTGACCCATCGGCTCTGGCCACCGGAGCTGTTCACGTTGCTGATAGATAGCTCGCTAAGCATTAATAGGTTCCTTGAAGATAACGTCTCTTTGATTGAGCGTTGGTTTAATAAGTTAATCTTCTTAAGTTCAAATTAGAATCTGTGCATTCCTTTTTAGAATGACGGATTAGTGATTGAAGGCTGATTAATATTTACTTATAGGTACAGATATTGAATAAAGGAAATAATGTAATCGTCTACCAACTACGATTATTTTAAGTACTCGCAATAAAAAAAAAATTGTCACGTGTTTGTAGCTAATCAAATTAGTAGAAGTCGTAAATTATTTTTCTAGGAGTCATTTCGGATAGATGAGGGCATCGCGTATATCTTAACCGTTAGACACTTTCTTCTTTTTTTCGATCCAACAACCGAACCTCATGCATGAGGTTTCCGTGCCTAGGTCGCTGTTAGGTCTTGATGGTCCGCAGATGTTTGGCCGCCCGGGCGGTACCGCTGGTGTAATGGGATACCCTGCTGGGTCAGAACGAGCCTAATGGGTCGGGACGCCGAGTGGGGCAGCCGTTGTAAGACCTTAGAACTAATTTCTCAAGGTGGGTGGCGGCATTTACGTTGTAGATGTCTATGGGCTCCGGCAACGGTAACTTAACACCAGGTGGGCTGTGAGCTCGTCCATCAATATATGTAATAAATAAATTAAAAAGGTGCACCGCCTCACGGAGCACATTCTCGTACGGCTTAACCGACCAAAACCATTATATACGGGAGCTCTCTCCTTCAACGTCGCAACAGCGTTCGACAAAGTCTAGCACAACTTTTTAATTTTCAAACTATTCAACATGGGCGTGCCGGACAGTCTCGTGTTCATCATACGGGACTTCTTGTCGAACCTTCAAGTCCTCTGTCCGCTCCTATTTAATTTATTTATTAACGACATTTCCCGCCGACCCAGTTAGCCTTATTTGCCGACGACACGACCCTTTACTACTCGTGTAGAAACAAGTCCCTAATCGCAAGGAAACTCCAGAGCGCAGCCGTAGCCCTAGGACAGTGGTTCCGAAAATGGTGCATAGATATCAACCCAGCGAAAAGCACAGCCTTGCTATATCAAAGGGGAAACTCCACACGGATTTCCTCCCGTATCCGGAGAAGGAATCTCATACCCCCGAATACACTTTTTGGCCAACCCATTCCCCGGGGCCAGGAAGGTCAAGTATCTGGGTGTCACCCTGGATGTAACGATGACATTCGACCCGAATATAAAATCAGTTCGCGACCGCGCCGCGTTTATTTATCCCTGGTAGACTCTACCCTGTGATCTGTAAGCGAAGTAAAATGTCCCTTCGGAACAAGGTGACATTTTACAAAACTTACATAAGGCTCGTATGACTTACGCGAGTCTGGTGTTCGCTCTCGCGGCCCGCACACATATAGACATCCTCAAGTCCCTACAATCCCGCTTTTGCAGGTTAGTCGTCGGAGCTCCGTTGTTCGTGAGGAACGTTGACCTACACGGCGACTTGGGCCTCGAATCAATCCGGAAACACAAGTCAGCGTCGGAATGGTACTTCGATAAAGATATGCGTTGTGATAATCGCCTTATTGTTGCCGCCGCTCCCATGGAGGCACTCGGGCAGCTGTTAGCTAAGCCCACCCCTCCTGGCTGAGCCTTTGCTCGCCTACCTGTCTTTGTCAAACTGGAAAAGCATCCGGGCCACCAGTAATACCTCAATCATAAAAAAAGACGACGGCTACAACATTGTTTGGTGTTTTTAGTGTTGACAGCGGGAACCTGTCCGTGTTCTGATCCCGTGCGGAGTCAGGGCGTTGGGTAAAAGAAGAAATAATTTATTTACGCGAGATGAAAACCTCTTCCAAACTATTCCCGGTGGCTGTCTCTGGTACAAGTAAATCAGTCAGACAGTCATTTTTCTATCTCTTGTGCCTTTGAGCCCTGTGCTACTCTTCCTATATTTCCTATACAATGCAGCTTTTAAGGTGTGCTGTACATGAACTCTAGTATCTGTCAAACACCGCGAACGCCGAGAGCTCCACAAGTAATTATACTTGTAAGTATTAAAGAATAAAAATATATTTAAACGAGTAAAAAACAAATCCTACTAATATTAGAAACGCGAAAGTTTGTAAGAATGGATTATATGTTTGTTACTCTTTCACGCAAAAACTACTGGATGGATTTTGATCAAAGTTTACAATACTCGTAATATAAGTTATACATCAAATAATAAAACATAGGCAATGATTTATTAAAGATATAGTGTGAATTACCCAAAATGTAACAATAAGTGTCAGATAAATAGAAAAAAATCTGCCATCTGCGAGCTATTCTGGCGTGCGCCGTAAAAACCGTTGGAGTCACAATGTTCAATGAAAATGTTTATTTCAAATATTTCATTGATTGCCTTACACAAAGTAGGTATGGAGCCAAATGCAATTTTTAAAACTCCTCATACGCTTGGTATTAGTAAAATGTTAGTGTACCGGGCTATTAGTAATAGGTGCAATGAGACCTTCTCTGTTTGTGACAGAAAAAGATCTGGCCGTCCACATAGTTTTCGTACGAAAAAGGTGGTCAAAGCAGTAAGGGAAATAATTCGAAGAAATCCTGTCCGAAAGCAAAAGATTTGATCTCGGGAGATGAAGATAGCAGAACCTAGCACCTAGAACCATGTCGCGTATTTTAAAAGATGACTTAGGATTGCAGCCTATAAGAGACGTACTGGTCATTTCTTAACTGATAATTTAAAAGAGAATATGGTGATAAAATCGAAGCGGTACGCAAAGGGAGGTCATAGAATTTTTTTATTTCCGGATGAGAAAATGTTTACAATTGAGCAACATTTTAACAAACAAAATGACCGTATTTATGCTCAAAGTTCTAAGGAAGCTTCCCTTAGTCGACAGAGTGCAACGTGGGCACTATCCGACTTCAGTGATGGTTTGGTGGGGTATTAGCTATGAAGGAGTGACTGAGCCATACTTTTGTGAAAAAGGGATCAAAACATCGGCACAAGTGTGTCAAGATACCATTCTTGAGAAGGTAGTGAAGCCCCTTAACAACACCATGTTCAATAATCAAGAATGGTCCTTCCAGCAAGACTCGACGCCAGGTCATAAAGCTCGGTCTACGCAGTCTTGGTTGGAAACGAACGTTTCGGACTTCATCAGAGCTGAAGACTGGCCGTCGTCTAGTCCCGATCTTCATCCGCTGGATTATGATTTATGTTCAGTTTTAGAGAGTACGGCTTGCTCTAAACGCCATGATAATTTGGAGTCCCTAAAACAATCCGTACAATTGGCAGTGAAAATTTTTCCCATGGAAAGAGTGCGTGCTTCTATTGATAACTGGCCTCAACGTTTAAAGGACTGTATTGCAGCCAATGGAGACCACTTCGAATAAGCTTTTTATACTTTAAATTGTTTTATATTTATGTATTAAACTAACACACTGTAAAAGTAATAAATGTTATTTGCAATAGAATTTTTTTTTTCCTTTATCTCAGTATTTATGGCAAGGCTAGGTATTATCTATCTTTTATGTGTAAGCCATGATCGTCAAAATACCATAAAATTGATAATTTATTTCGTTATAATAATAATAATAACGCACATTTGGTAGTAACAAATTGATCCTCATATCAAAATAAATACTTTTATCGCATATCTGATATTTAAAGCAGATAGAATTTGTCTTTTACTTTAAACAACCGAATGCACGATATTATGAAAGATGAAGATAGAACTTTCAATAATATCAATAATAAATTACAGCTCCCTAAGCGAAGCGAGGGCAGGTCGCTAGTTAAAAATATACGAGGGCGGCACTGAAAATTTCGGGAATTAACGAAGTGCCACAACATTACTATTTAAAAATGTATTTATTGCTTTTCGAAGTATTCTCCGCGAAATTTGACACATTTTTCCATACGATGGAACCAATCATTGAAGCAACCGTTCCATTCGGAAGTTGGGGTCTTCAAAATGGCCGTTTTGTAGGCGTCCACAGCTTCTTCAGGTGATGAAAATCTCTGTCCACGCAATTTATTCTTTATTTTAGGGAAAGTATAGAAATCATTAGGGCTTAGGTCGGGGCTGTACGGCGGATGGTCTAATAATTCTATGTTTTCTTGCTCTAAAAACTCTTTTGTTCTGTGCGCGGTGTGAGAACAGACAACCTGATGGTGAGTGGTTACCGTCATTCATGGACGTCTGCAATGCCAGGGGCACAGCCAACCTGCTGCCTACCACTGAGCACTGTCCGCAAACCTTGTTTGAAGAAAGGCAAAGGCAAAGAAAGGCAAGAAAGGCAAAATTATAATTTGCGTAATTACTGGTGGTAGGACCTCTTGTGAGTCCGCACGGATAGGTACCACCACCCTGCTTATTTCTGCCGTGAAGCAGTAATGCGTTTCGGTTTGAAGGGTGGGGCAGCCGTTGTGACTATACTGAGACCTTGGAACTGTATCTCAAGGTGTGTGGCGCATTTACGTTGTAGATGTCTATGGGCTCCAGTAACCACTTAACACCAGGTGGGCTGTGAGCTCGTCCACACATCTAAGCAATAAAAAATAAAAAATAAAAGAGAACTCGCATTGTCGTGATGGAGGATGATGCGGCGATTGCAGTTCTCTTTACGGAGTTCAGAAACGACCTGTGGCAAACAAATGCTAGCATACCATTCTGCATTAACCGTTCTTTGTCCCTCAAGAGGAATAGTCGTAACATGGCCGGTTTTGGAGACAAACGTGGCCACCATTTTTTTTGCAACACTCCGTGAACGAACAATTTTTGTTGGCTTTAACTCATTTTCGAACACCCAAACTCGTGACTGGTTTTTTGTTTCGGGTTCGTACGCGTATATCCAGGATTCGTCACCTGATACAATGTTGTATACAGCATTTGAGGATCCTGCGTGGAATCTTTCGAGAGTTCTGACGCACCAAGTAACGCGAGCCGCTTTTTGCTCTTCACAGAGCGAATGCGGTATCCATCGGGAAAACAACTTTTTTACACCTAATTGTTCATGCAAGATTATTTGTATTTGACTCATGCCAATGTCTAAAGTTGCCTGAATTTCGCGGTATGTCACATGTCGATCTTCCTCAATCAGCTTACGCACAGCATCAACGTTTTCTTGGGTGACTGCAGTTTTTGGACGACCTTGACGGGGATCATCACTGAGCTTGACACGTCCACGTTGAAACTCAGCAAACCAGCGATAAATTGTGGTTTTGGATGGGGCTTCATCACCAAATGCAGAAATCATGCGGTCAACACACTGTTTTTGTGTTAAACCACTTCGAAAGTCATAATAAATCATCGCTCTTGAATTTTCTCGAGTCAATTCCATTTTCTCAACGACTAAACAAGTTTGACAAAACCTCGTGACAAGACCGAGAATCTTTTTTTAGATAAATAAATGGTATTCGATTTTTAAAACCAAGGAGTTTTCAATTAAAAAGATTTTAATATGACAGGAACAGTGGAAATATTCCATTCCCGATACTTTTAATGCAGTCTAGTAGGAAAATCGAAAAATTAATTACCTACAATGCGTTCCGTTATTTTTGTTTTTGTTAAGGATTTGTATTGTAATTTGATAGGTACTTGATAGCCTAAAGAGCTCTCTGCACTGATCGTCAGCAGCGAGTGATTCAGAAAATCAAGACGACAGAGGATCGGACATTGAGACGAAATAATATGAACGCAATGTGGACTTGCAATGTAGAGCACACAGACAGAACTTAAGTTACCGCTTTCAAAAAAATCGATAATAATCGTGGTCACTCGTTAACAAGATTCTAGTTGCTAGACTAACGTTGAAAATGTTTCGTCATGAGACGTAGGTAGATACAAATAAAAGGCAACTCTACTCAATTCCTGTTCCCAAAAAAGTTAAGATTTCGGGCTTATAATTCAGAAGACGTCGGTATTTACACTGTACTGTGAGCTTCTGTTTGTAACCACTGAAATGTGAATCGTAAGCGACATTTGAAAATGTAGAATAAGGTCATTCGCGACTTTGCGTTGGTCCAAAATGAGTAAGAGCTTTCAGGCTGCCGTGTGTTTGGCCTCCAGCATGATTACCAGATAACTTAAGATAACTGAAGAAGTTCATCAGAATCTGTTGACTGTGGAATAAAGCAAACCAGCATGTTCTGGAGGCAGACAACGTCCTTGCGTTTTACATTATATGTCGATAGTACAGCGCTTATCTCTTACCCTTCACAATTTGTATCCAATTATTAAAACGCATTTAAAAAAATGACAGGTACTAAAGGCCGATCGAAATCTGCTTGATTAGATTTTTTAATAACTTTTAGAGAATGTGGCATAATAATTTAATAGTAGTCTACGACAATTTAGAGCTCCTAAAATTCCACGAGACTGGCAGTGACGAAGTTTTTTTAATTGTCTATACTGATATTTTTTTGAGGAAAGATTTGTTTGTTTGTTTGTATTGAATTTTTTACACCCAAGGTGTAAAAAAATTACCTAAAATATTCTTTACATCGCGTGCCCTGCGAAAACTATTGATCATAGAATAAAATTATGTACTGCAACGTTGTAGAACACGTTATTATTTACAAAAAGTGTAGCGACAGCATATGTTTGAGTACATATTACAGTTATGCCACAATAAGTGTTCATTTATTTAAAAAAATATAAAACAACGTCAAATATCGTTTTTTATAATTTATAATTGCAAGCTTTTTTATAATTGTGGGTTTACTGGTGGCCCGGAGGCCTTTTCAGTTTCACAAGGACAGGTGGGCGAGCAAGGGCTCAGACAGAGCAAGGGCTCAGCCAGTACAAGGAAGCTCTGACTCAACTAATAAAAAATAAACTCAATGGCTTTTGTTTTGTATGTATGACCTTTTTACGAAAATTAGAAAAATAATAATAAAAAAAATATTAAAAAAATAGATAAAAACACATATTATTTAAACGAAAAAAAGGTTATTAAAAAAAAAATTCAAACTATCTTTATAATTTTATATTTTTAGAGAGCTGCCGCAAATCTAAGGGTTAATGTGTGTGAAGTATTGATTAGGCAGTAACTAAAGTTGAAAGTCAAAGTTTCTGTATCTAACTGTATTCCAGAATTAGAATATAGAATATTGTCTTCAGTTTACGCGAGTCGTAGACATAAAACTACTTTTACAACTTAATTTGGCGCATTTCGTTGTCCTATTTATTTGATTATTACCAACGTTTTACTTTAAAGTTTTTATGCTCATGTCGTCCGTAAAGTTAATTTGGTTTTAATTTAAAACAGAAATTATTACAATGCGCCTCCCAAAATAAATAAAGCAATTGACGTAGAAGAAAAATAAGGCGATTAAAATGTGATTGAAAGAACCTGATAGTGCGGGCCGTGTGATGCTGTGAAACTCTACGGTACTATGCAGCATAGAAGCACTTACTACCTTGTGATCCAGGGTCTCACTGCAAGGATACAACGCGGATATGCAGAGAACCTATAAACTTGCACGACCATCATTCATTCCTATCATTATTGCAAGGTATAGATAAGTTTTTGAGTTTTGTTAATTATTGCTATTTTCGGATAATAGGGATTTTGGTTGTTTCAGATGGCCTTTCCTGTTTAGACCACTAAAACAATCAGATTAGAAGATATAAATAATTTAAACAATAATAATATAGCATTCAAGTAAACACCTCACTGAAAAATAAGTAAAGAAATTTTAAACTGGTTAAATTTCAGATTGGTCATTTGCGTGAACTCCTTTTTTATTCTATGAACTGGGTCACTAAGACATACTTAATCAGCAATAAAGCGTTTGACATCATATTGGCAGAATGCGTGCTGCAAATATCGTCAAAGAGGATGTAAAAAAAACTGAATTTCTTAGTACGGCATCACGGCTACTTCAGAGCTATCACGCCTAATATTAAAATTTCAATTTAATATGAAGTTTCGGAAAGTCTGAGTAAACTAACATACAGTTTACTAGCATGACACGTGCTACACTCGGTTATACAGAAGAATACAATCGTTTTCTTTAATTTACAGTTGAATTATCGTTATTAAAAACTATTAGCTAAAAGCTATTAGACGTACAAACTTAATTTGTAGAACTCGTAATGCTCTCAGTCTCAAATGCGCAAGAGCAAGTCAAACTGACGAGCACCGCGAACTTTTAAGATAAGCATATTAAAAAACAATGAACTGTTACCAACACGTGCCTGATGCAAAATACGTTGGCAGCTTTTATTTGAAATGGTGTTTTTTTTTTTTTATTGCCTTTGTAGGCAGGCGAGCATACGGCCCACCTGATGGTGAGTGGTTACCGTCGCCCATGGACTTCAGCAATGCCAAGGGCAGAGCCAAGCCGCTGCCTACCGCTAAATACTGATTGAAAGGGCGTAAAGTACGTTTTATAGCTCTATGAATTGCTAGAAGCAACCAGAAGTGAGTGTGTTTAAAAAAGTTGATAGGGGAAATGGCAGGGCTGACAAAGTATTTTGAGGGTCACGTGGTAGAGCCTCATGGAGGAACTACAAACAATTCGCTATATAATATCCTCCTATATTACATCGTTTTTCAGGTTCTGAATTGTATAAAAAAAAGCGATAAAATCAACAATAAATTATAGTTCCCGAAGCGAAGCGAGGCCGGGTCACTAGTCAGCAATAAAACGATTTCATTTAACCAAAATTCTTTATAAAAAATAAAATAAAATATCTACAATCTAAAGTAATCTAAAATAATTATAATTTAAATGCATATAAATTTTATTAGAATCAAAGTTTAACTCTCGGTGCGAACCAAATCATCTGAATCAACTGCACTGACAAACCAAAAATGCTATAAAGCTTACCTGCATTAGCACCTGTCATTAACAATGCCAGCAATAACTAGCTGCTTACATATACTCGCACTACACAGTTCTCTCTCCGCGACTCTTACTCATACTCAAATTATATTTTTTAAATAAATAGTTAAACTTTTTAGTCACTTTGTTCTTTGCTTATTTCTATTTATTGCCTACATTTTTAGCGTTTTAAATACTTTTCACATTTACTATACACATTCTTGCAGCAGGGCGTACGTATCAAACTTGAATGTCATCATCCCCTGATGCATAAGCTCCAAGTTCTAAGTGTGTTGAATCACAACTGCGGACATTTCAGACCGAAATACACGACTGATTCGAAGGCAGACATTTTCTTGTCGAATTGTCAGGCAAATTGTCATCTAATATAGTTACTTCAGTAAAAAATTATAAGTAGAAATTAATGTTAATTACAACAATTTATTGTAACACCCTTTATTTATGATAAATATAAGTTCAAGTTGGTCTGTATGACCGATGCTATACATTTGTATATGTTTAGTTTGGTTTCTTTGGCTACCAAAACTGAAACCTGAAATTTTACGAGGCATCAAAAACTTTTCTGCCTCAAAGATGGCTTCTGTTTGTTCGTTGTAGTTTCTTTTGATGCCTAGTATTATGACGGAAATAAACAGAGTTCATGAGCTAAATATAAAATGAAGCATGTTGTTTTGTGTATTTTAACGCTGATCACTTAAATCTAATATGATAATTCGTAACATGAGATTAGTTGCTTTGTATCTTGGATTGAGGAGTGCCAAGCGCCTCTGCCTCTGCGAGTGTGTTCGGCATCTTGGTGCCCAGGGTTTCGGGCTGAGTGAGGATCAGCACTCCGGAGAGGAAGCCCATAGCGCCGAACATCACCGTAGGTATGCCATGCCAATACTCCATCTGTACAATAATGTTACTTGATGAAAAAACAATGTAACGCTTGCAAAAATTTAGCGAAATCCTAACCCTTTTGTTAATATGGAGGAATCCCACTGGGATTCTGTGGTTAAGAAAGGGAAAATACCGACGGTGTGTGCGAAGTCTAACGTCCAATCTACACTGGACGACTTAAGAAGTGAAGGAATACTGCTGGTTTTCCTTCACTCTACAATGTCAAAGGGGCCTTCAACTCGAAATTGTATAAAACTTTGACGGTAGTTAGTGTGGCGGGTAGCCATCATACAACGCAAGATATTTGACAGATGCCTGATCTCGCTTACGAGATTTTCAAGTTATGCTCGCATAATACAAGTTCCGAACAACAACATTCGGACCGTCGGTCTACCGAGCAATATCACCCATAAAAATCATTCGAGATCACGAAAACTACTCTTACAACAATGCTTCTCCACGTCTTCCTGTCCTCGGCGGTCTTTATAGACTCGGTTATTGTCAGGACGGTTAGCCTCTTTGCCAGATGTGACCAGCGGGTAAGCAAGCGTCCGCGTGAGCTTCTTCTTTGAACTTGACCAACTATCATCAGCTTCTCTAGGTTATCAGAGTCTCTGCGAGCGATGTGACTGAAGTACGTGAGAACACGTTGGAAGCAGATAGCGGACAGAACGGATAACTTGGTCCGTTGTGCAGTTCGTGGAATTCGCAGCATTCGCCTTCAATACCACATTTCAAAAGCGTCTTTTACTCTAAAATGATGCTAAGAAATAGGAAATTTTTAGAACTTACTAAAGCAGGAGTGAGTGGAGCAGTGATGGATCCGATGCGACCGATCATGGACGAGAATGCGAGCAGGCTGTGTCTGTACTGCGTGGGGTACAGCTCGGACGTGAACAGGTACAGGGATGTGAACACCATGGAGATACCGAACTTGCCCAGAAGGAATATTATCAAGCGAAGAACTGTCATGTCTGAAAATTGGAGAATAAATTATATTGATTATACTCGTACAGGGTGTCTCGCAATGGATGTATCAAACCGAAACGTGGCTACAGTATTAAAAATGTAGATCACTTTAAAAATGTACCAAGTCGTAATTATTAGTTATTATTATACAAATATGAACTTGTAAGTCGTTTCAACTGTTCGATGACAGCCCTGCGTTTATAAAACAAAAGTACAGTTAGGTCGTTCATTCAATTAGACGCGACGGATCGAGATACACAATCAACTCATTCAAACTTATTCCAAACAATGAATACGACAAAAAATGCAAGCATATTACTAATTTTTTTTTAATTACTTTAATGACTGGACGAACTCATGGCCTAAATGGTGTTAAGTGGTCACCTGCCTGGTCCCTCGATTGATGAGGACGGCCGGTTTTTTGAGCCGGCTGCTTCCGAATGTCGGGGGGCCGGATCAGGTTGTGCGCCGCCTATACGCGGGGGTGGTGCGATCGATGTACCCTGTACGGTGCGCCTGTATGGGCTGAGCCGCGCAACTGCTATGGCTCGGATCCTGCGCCGGCTGCAGCGCACCGTTGCTATCAGAGTCATCCGTGGATATCGCACCGTCTCCTTCGAGGCGGCACGTGTGTTGGCGGGGACGCCGCCATGGGAGCTGGAGGCGGAGTCGCTCGCTGCCGACTATCGGTGGCGCAGCGAGCTTCGTGCTCTGGGCGTGGCCCGTCTCTCCAAAAGTGTGGGCGCGGAAGGCCCATTCTCGGCGGTCTGTGCTCGAATTGTGGTCGAGGCGATTGGTCAACCCCACGTGCGGCTTACAGACTGTCGAGGTGGTTTACTCAGTCTTTGATGACTAGTTGAATCGTGGCGGAGGACATCTCATCTTCCATCTGGTGCAGGTGCTGATTGGGCACGGATGCTTGAGGAAGTACCTGCACCGAATAGGAGCTGAGCCGACGACGAGGTGCCACCATTGTAGACACAACCTGGACACGGCGGAGCATACGCTCGCTGTCTGCCACGCTTAGGAGGTGAACGATGTTCGACCAGCCCATACCGTGGGCCCCGAAGGTCAAATATTTAGGTGTCACCCTCGACAGTAGGATGACATTCCGCCCCCACATCAAGACGGTACGCGACCGTGCCGCCTTCATTCTAGGACGTCTCTATCCGATGATATGTAGGAGAAGTAAAATGTCCCTTAGAAATAAGGTGACACTCTACAAAACTTGCATACGCCCCGTCATGACCTATGCAAGTGTAGTGTTCGCTCACGCGGCCCGCANAAGGGCAATAAAAAAAAAAAAAAAAAAAAAGGTCCAGCGCCGTATCCTTGTCGAAAAGATAGGACCGGACTTGTTGCTGCCTGGCGTCGTGGCATCGATGCTTGGCGGCGACGAGTCTTGGAAACCTATGCTCGACGGCGGGACGGGAAGCGGCGGTGCGGGTGAAGCAAAGCTCTCCTCACTACGCAGAAATCCGCCACGGCCGGGCAGGGGGTCGGCGTGACCCGGCCCCCTATGAGCTTCGGGCTCCACCCGCTTTATGCGTGGAGGGATCAAGCCGCGGGACGGGGTGCTTTAGACCACGCCCGTAATAGGAAGCCGCCCGTAATAGAAACCGTGATGGTAGACCGCGTTCTCCCGACCGCTCTTGGGGGAAGTGCAGCGTGGCACCATCAAGGTGGACTCCCGGCCCGTCGACCGTGGGAGCCGGTGGTCTTGTCGCCAGAGGCCGCCGGTCCGGCGTATGGGGGACGGCGGGATGGATGTAATATGCTCTGTGTAAACCCTGTCCCGCCGTCTCAATAACTCCGACTGGGCTCCGGCCCGGTCCGGGGTAGGGCGCCGACTGTGAGCGGCAGGACTTTTTAGTGAGGGTCAACTCCACATACCCCACCCGCTGCGTGAATGGGAATCCGGGAATTTTCTCCTGTGGAAAAAAAATGGTTTGGAGCCGTTAAACATTTACAACGTAAATGCTGCCACCCACTTTGAGACATGAGTTTTTAGCTTGGTTTTAACAAGGTTTGGGTTTAAAGGGAATGCCTGTTGAAATTAGAAAATAAAATGTAACTATACTGAGACCTTAGAACTCGTATCAAAGGTGGGTGGCAGCATTTACGTTGTAGATGTCTATCGGCTGCCGTAACCACTTAAAACCAGGTGGACTGTGAGCTCGTCCACTATCCATCAGTTGTGACCGATCTAAGCAATATTTTTGTTTGTTAAATCAACAAAATTGCGTCCGCCACCTGTTTCGCATTGATTGCTGTTTAGTTAGACACACATTTGCAACGAACCCTGAGACAAGCGGGAGACGAACTCTGCTATTCAAAATAAAAGTTACGGAATCCGGTCTTGAGCAGAGGACTAATGTTGCACTCCTTGTCGTTTATACAGTGCTTTATTGAACGGTTTTGTACAGTTTAATTATGTTCTTTTTTATTTCTTACATAGGTAGGTATATAAGATTACGCTCGATAAATGGTTCTTAATTTACGTCACAAATTTTAGCATATTTATGTACATATTTAATCTCGTATTAAAAGCTAGCACGTGATTTAAATAACGTGTTTTATTATCTTCACAATAAAGTATGTATTTTTATCTAGTTTAATAAATAAAAGGATATGTTTTTATCAGAATTGTGCGTTACGTTAATCCGCGATATTAGTAAACCACGTGTGATTAGGGATCGATTGCGATGTAAGCTGTCCGTTCCAGAAGCCAGGAATAGAAGTACAGTCGGAACACAATACTTGAATGTCGATCAAAACTACGTAGTATGGGAAATCATTGTACAGAAAGGACCTGCCGGGGACTGGCCACGCGACCGCCGCCGGTACACAGACTTATACTCACCAGTGTCATGTATACAAGTACTCTCTATAAATCGGTAGGCGTCGCGTGGCGCGTTCTGTGTGCTTAATGCGAGTTTTTTAACGTTCTCGATAGCGTAAAAGTTAACTCAAATTTATATACAATTGGAACACCGCCCCAAGCGGCAAACCTAGGCAAACGTTCCAACTCCATACCATAATTCGAGTTAACTTTTACGCTATCGAGAACGTTAAAAAACTGGCACTAAGCATACTGAGCACGGGCAAGTTTCATCATTGATCGTAACCCAAGTTCTTTGAGAAACATGGTTATATGCGAGGTAAATCTCAGTAAAATATTGCCTTTTGACAAGCGTTAAATCATTAACCGAAAGAATTTACGAGAATAAAATATTACTTCGACGAGATATCGCACACCGAAGATCGCTTCACATCTGACGTTCAGAGAGTGAAATCATTATCAATGTATTATTCCTGAGCGTTTGAAATGAGAACATACAAAAACTTACCGTTAGGTATGAAAGCAAAGGCTATATTGCAAAGAGCACTGAAGAAGAATCCACCAGATAAAGTCGGCTTTCTTCCGACCCTGTCCAGAATCAAGACCGCAGTGTAAAATCCAGGGATTTCGATAGCACAGGTCAGGATGTAATTCAAGTAAATGGTGTCTGATAAGCTGGCAGAGTTGATGGAGAGGCCGTAGTACACGAAAGTCGTGGTGATCCACCAGATCGGCGTGGTGCACACACGACGGAGTAGGATAGGAGATTTGATGATGGTTCTGAGAACTCCAGGGTCTGCTTCTACCTGCAATGAATAGCATGCTCAGTACAGTTGTGAGTGACCTTGACTATCATACATACCACAGGAGTTCCACACAAAAGGAGTCAGAACAAGAGGTTAACAAAAAAAAACAATTTGATCCATAATAATTAGAGTCATACAAGGAAAGATTTTAATTATAGCAATGCGATCATGTAGAACAGTTGCCATGTACGTAGATAGGTAATCTTATCCGCCGTAATCCATGCGAGTTAATAAGTTGTAGTCGTCGTGGCCTAATGGATAAGACGTCCGGTGCAATCGTGTCGAGCGATGTAACGGTGTTCGAATCTTGCTGAATCTTGCAGGTACCAATTTTTCTAATGAAATACGTACCTACTTCACAAAATGTTCACGATTGACGGTACTTACGTGTTAACGCCACCGCAGCAAAAATTCGGTTAAACTTTCCTTTATGGTCCGTCGATTTTGGGTCGGGGTGGGGTTTGGGTCAAGGGTTTACTCCCTGCACCATTCCCACTCCGCGGAACCGGTTATGAAGATATCCACGGTTTTTTTTTAAAATTTAAATTACATTATTTAGTCAATCTCGAAGGGAGCTTAAGTTTGAATCCGCTTTATCTCCGGCGCTGCGGGAAGAGCAGCCCTTTCGCCCTTGCGTGCCGAAGCACGATCACTCGTGCTCCGCTCCGCAGCTTCGGCTTGCCTCAGTCGCTCCGCTTCGCACTGTTTCCGTGCTCCGTCACAGCGGACGAGGACTGCTCTCTCTCCGCGCCTCCGGTTTTTTATATACACTCTAGCGGTTGGGTAGACAAGACCAGGTGGAAAGTGGGGTGCTCTGATTCGCTTTTCCATATTTTTCGAGTTGGCCACATTTGCTAACCCAATTTTTGCCGCGGTGGCGTTAATACGTAAGTACCCGATTGATTTTTATGGTGAAAGAATAACACCGTGTAATAAAAATAAAAAACGCAAAAATTATAATTTGCGTAATCACAGGTGGTAGAACGCCTTGTGAGTAGGCACGGGTAGGTACCACCACCCTACCTGTTTCTGCCGTGAAACCGTAGCGCGATTCGGCTTGAAGGGTGGGACAGCCGTTGTCTGTAGAACTGAGACTTGGAGCTCATGTGTCAAGGTGGGTGGCGGCATTAAAGATGTCTTTGAGCCCGGGTTACCACTTAACACCAGATGGATCATGAACACGAGCAAAAGGAACGAACCTTCAAGTATAGCACAACCGTAAGCTATAGAACGCGCGGAGATTTAGATTAGTCAAATTAACGAACATAATATCGTTTTAAACCTTTAAAATGAATTACATGAGAGGGCTGACCATCCGGACCGGTCGTCCAGTCAGTCACTGACAGATGATTATTAAATACTCTGAAAATTTATCAAATTAAATGAAATAATTAAAATAAAGTAATTAGATGTCGGCGGTGGCCGGTGTGTGGTAAAGCTGCAGTGTAGGTATCCAATCCGTTCTCCCGTGAAGCGGAGATTCATTGCGGTATGCGAGTGGGACAACCCTTACACAGTGCAAGGTTCCGTTCTCAACTCTCGAGGTTGATGATGACAGTGGCACTCCTTGTGAGCCGTCACCAGGTGAGACTTAAGCCTAAGCATGCATAATTAACAAACAACTCACGGGTTCCGCCTTGGCGACCGCCGCCGGAGGCCTCATCAATGCGTTCATAGACTTCTGACTAATCTCTCTCTTGTTAACCTGAGCAGCTTTCTCCAGGACCCGTCGGGCTTCATCGAATTTTCTCTTTGAGAGCAGCCATCTCACGCTCTCCGATAGTAGCCAGTAGTATGAGACGATAAGGAAACAAGGGATGTGGAGCGTCATGATCATGTACCGCCAGGGCTGGACCAGCCACGCGATCCCCCCGAGGACCACTTGACCGACCGCGAACATCGATGAGCAAGTCGCACTGGTAATGACTCGGTACTTCGGTCCCACGAATTCAGTGGCTGAAAATTGTTTTATATAAAATACCCAAACATCATGCTAGTGAAGAGTCTCGCAGTCAGCGACGAGGGGCTGGGAGCCTGGGATCTCTGCTATTTACGACAACTAGTGAGGGGACCCGCAGCTTTATACATAATACGTGCGGCACGACCAGGTGCCGCTGACCTCCACATTTCTGTCGTGATGCAGTTATGCGTTGCAGCTTAACGACTTGGGGCATCCATTTTACTACACAGTTCAGACTCATGTCTCAAGGTGGGCGACTGCATTACAATGGTGATGTCTATAGGTTTTACTAACCACTTAAAAACCAAATGGGCCGTGAGCTTGTTCGCTAGTCTGTACAACAAACAAGTCACATTAGTGTTTGTATCTTGTTCAAATAGAAAATAAACAAAATGTTCAAATCCAGATCAAATCCAATAAAGTCCGTGAGGTACGAGTATGTGTAGCAGCCACTTAACTCCGACGACAGACTCCTGCGTGCTCCAAAAACTCACTCGTGTAAATCACTACAATGCTAACTATTTCATCTAAGGCTCGTTGTAATTCATTCATAATAAATTGTAACATATGTAGTTAGTAGTAATAATAAAATGCTTCTCTTCGATTACTTTTTCTGTGAAGTCTCTCAGTGTACATTATACTCGTACACATTTACATAACAACGGTACTAGTAACCAAAACTAGACCACTGTGGGTCCACGGCCACACATATTATATGAGTATAAATTAAAGTTTTTATAAAAATAAACTTTAGATATATCAAAGATCATCTTCCCAGATGATAGATGAACGACGTTTTGTACAGGAAATATTGCGCACTCTTTATACAACTTCTTTAATATATTATAATATTAAAAAAAAAAAACTAGAAGGTTGGTTGAATTCTCTCACCGAATATGTAGGCGGAGCTGAAGGTGCCGGCCCCCAGAGTCGTCTGTATTACCTGGAAAGCCAAGTACATAACGTAGTTTACAGAGAAGGCTTTGATTAAGCCAAATAGTGCCAAGTTGAAGACGCTGATCACTAGGGCCATACGTCTCCCGAAGCGATCGGAAACATAACCAGTGATGGGCAGGACCAGCAATGTCCCCACGCTGGATAAAGTGCCGGCAAGAGCACGAAGCCACTCCTGGCACCCAAGGTCGAACTGTGAACAACAATATATTTTTTATTGAGGTCAGAAACTGTTACTGACTGATAATGACGGCGTTAATCCTTCATCACAGGAGGTGTTTAATGAAATAATACGCGCTAGAGATATTATATTTATTTAGATAAATTGGTACCCGACTGCGAGACATGCGCCCTGTCAAACTGGTATTACTTGACACTCGTACACTCCACTAAAACGCAGCGGTACCTAAAAGGCTTCGTTGTTGCCGCGCGTCGTCCGGCTCAGAAATGAAAATATCTGTTTGATATTCCCTGAGTGCTGTCACATGTCCCTCTTCAAACAAGTTTGAAAAGAGTCTCCAGTGGTAGGCGACGGTCTGACTGCATCTCCGACATTGCCAGTGTTTGCTTACCTTTAGGTGGAACGTAAGGTCTGCCGCCTACAAAAGAAAAAGGTACTCACGTCAAAAACAACAGAGTTATCTCTGGTATAAATGAATCCATCGCACTCAATGGTGTTGGTCTGGAAGATGTTCGGCGGACAGTAGTCCAAGGTCCCGTTGATCCCGGTGGCTGGAGCGAATCGCTCACAGCTCGCGAATCCAGAGTCGCTCTCAGGGATGGCGTTCGCCAACCACTCTCGGTCGTAATTCGTACTTTTCTCAACTTCCCCGCACTCTGGGATCCGACACCTGGACAAAAATGTAAAAAAATTAAAACGGACACTGTAATAGCCTCGTAGAGATTAAATTAATCCGTGTTTTATAGTTGGTTCGTGAAATGTTTCCTCATAAACTTTACCCTCAACACAAGTTGAACTTTGATGATCGTCAGAACTTTGTTGTTGTATTTTACACTAGTTCAAGTCCCAATTATTTAATTTGAGATGAATGTCATTAAAACACTACCTACTTGAATTTTCAAACTCTATATCGTAACTCATCATCTCTCACCATCGGTTCCAAAAAAACACAACATTGTGTAGAATGGGCGAAATATGACGACGAACCGATATGCATCGAAAGTATGTTTTATTAAGAGTAGAGTAACTGCTAGCGACTCGGTAACTGCTAGCCACAGCAGCGGCTCGTGAGAATGAAGTGACGGTATCGAAATGTAGCGCGTGCCGCAGATTACTTAGTTCCTGCATAACACTAGCCTATAAATAGCATTAATCCCAATGCAACTGGCGCCCTGACAACACTACAACAACCTGAGTGTCCCTAAGGTCTGTTGGGTGGTTTACAGATATAGCTAAGAACAAAATCTCCGTCCGGGGCCATGAGTTCTACTTGAATTGTTAGTGTTTTAATAGCATTATTATGAGTCCAGCTTATCTTCATTCAATAAATAAACATCTTATCAATCAGTTTAATTGTTCGTATTAATTTGATACAGTTACTGGACTATTTTATGGGATGCACTGAACAACTGTGGTTTTGTTAGTCGTTGTAGTATTAAACGAGTGGTTTTGTTGAAGTACTTAAGTGATTAAGATCCTTCAACGGGCCATGAGGTCGTCCGCATCCACCCTTTTACTCTCTTCATTTTAAAATTTCTGCCCAAACCCCAATTAAGATTTGATACAAATGATGTGGTGCTAATAGGCAGTCTCTGCCGGCCACGCGCAGGGCGCTTATTGACAGCAACAGCAGTCTGAGCGTCATTAACTATGTACGGAACCGGGAAACATCCAGTGCACATACATACACTAACAAACTCTTAACACTTCTTTGTTGTAGAAAATGACCACCCGTGTGGAAAATTTCCACACCTATAACTCGGTAGACCCACCGACCTACGTTTGAATGTTAGCTATAGCTCGGTTAGAATTTCATGAAGTTTCCTAACTTATCAAGAGCTACCTGCTCCTACTACAACCGTGAGATTAAAACTATGACAAAGAAGCCCCCGAGAGTCGAGGTGCCGGGCAGTAAAAATAAAAATTACCTGTGAGGAATAGCTGCAGCAGAAAAGACGAATTCGCTCATGAAAGCCGACATGATAATAGGTATGGCCACCAAGAGGATGTTCCTCAACTGGAACAATCCAAACTGTCCCAGCTCGTTGATGAGCACATGGTCTAGATCTATTGGCTGGTCAAATGCGCTGCCCTTCCTCGCGGGGTCCACGCTGGGTTTTCTGTCTGCCATGTTGGGGATACCGAGGGATGGAGGCGGCACTCGGCGCGGCTGGTGCGGCTCAAGTGAACTGCTAATCAAATGATTCGCCTCATCTATAGCCGATAATCTGCTATCAAACGATAATATATGCACGCATTAACATATTACGTTTATTACGATACGCCGTTCATAGATTCAGGTTTTGCTTATGCAAAAGAAATACATTTTGAAACACCGCTGGTCCAGTATGAGTTACTCGTCTTCTCGTGCTCAAGTTGATCGTGCTGATATTCTTCTATTAAATAGTCAATGAGCAGAGGAGTAACACGAGACAGAAGTCTCGATAGCATTGCAGTCACTGCTTATCCTGCAAACTCGGAAATAATGAAGAGAAATAGCACCAACCCGCTAAGCTCTACATTAAAACCCTGAGCGGAGTGCGCGTAGCACGGCCGCCATTGCTGGCACTAAAACTATCAAGATCCAGTTCAGTTCCGTTCAGTTCCGTTCAGTTCTGTTCACGAATTACTTCCGCCGAATGATAACATTGTGCAAGTCGTTCTGAGCTCAGCCAAATACAGCTCATACAGTTTTTGTCCAATTTATTTCTAGCAATTGTTACTTCCGCTGAGGGTATTATTGCTATTGACACTGTTATAAGGCGTTGGGTGTAATTCTGATTTCTTAAGATGTTTTGGGTTTTCCTTTGAGAACTGGACGGTGATTAATAGATCGTACCGTTAATTAAAACATTACAGAACGACTAACGTATTTATTTAATTTCGAAAACGAATAAATTATTGCCCGGCAGAACATTTGATAAACTGCAAAAATGATTCTTCAGAAACAACCCTACACAAACAAACATACACCATCGACGATGTATGTATATGATTAGTATAGGCTACTATGGATTAGTCTATAATGATCTGCAAAAAGAATTACAGTTGAGTTCAATCGCTGCCTTTCATATTGATTTCGTGTTGAGCTACGCAGAAGTATATTTATAAGCATTTTGTTTCAGTCTTCACTTTATTAGTTTATTCAAAATAAAAAGAATCATAAATAACGAGTTAACATTCGGTTTATTGAAAACTTTAAAGAACAAATACAAACAACGGAGTCAGTGAACATCGCAAGCCTTCGTCCGCGAGTGTGCTACACGTTTGTTATTAACTCTTTTTGTGTAATCGAATATTCTACATCATTTATACAACTTAGTTATACAGTATATATTAGAGCACGATCGCAGATGTGACGTAGTTAAGAAGATTGATACTGTACCAACAGCCACCCATATAGCTTCCCATTCAACTCCATCTAACCTGGCCTGGTTGTACTGTGAGCTCGCCCAGGGCGGTACCACGTTCCAGCTCCAGGCCTAAGAGCTGACGTAACACGCCGAGTGGACGGCGCGGCGATAACGCCCTTTGCAAGTATAGAAATAAATGAACAACAACACACGCTGCCCTAGACAAATACCTCGCAAGGAGTGTCGTCGATCCGACAGTACAATTACAGAGAGCACTTCAACATTTACATCATTTCAAAAACACATTTTAAAACATTGCTAAAATCTTGGAGCAACGATCGCCTCGCTCTACGCGTGAACCGTTACTGGACGACTCAATTAAAATGAACCCACTGTTTCTTCTATACTATATCCGCTTAAAGAGAAGATCATTACGAACCATAGACATAGCCGGATGGTTAAATACTCTTATAGGATTAATATACAACCATTTTAATATACTTTATTGGATGTCTCAAAATAGTAGAGCAAATGCCGCTTTCAAATGCATGTTAGAAGTGAAAGTTCTACATGAACTTTCGATCATCTGTAGCTTGAATCATGACCTATCCAAATTCTTTATAACTTTCATAGAAATACAAGTATTTATAATATGACCTGTGTGAATGTAAGTTGCCACCGTGTCTAACAATCGTTAGTAATCTCGTAATAACGATTTGTTAAACTACGATTGGTGGTAATTGATTTACTAAAGATGGGTTAACTGTTCAACGGATGTTAAGAAAAGTATCAGGCTGGCAAGTGACCGTCGTTAACCGTCTGGACGGGTATGCGGAGCGTTCCTTGTACAGAACAACTGTATATATACATATATCTTCTTTCGCCGTTTATTGTATCTGGATGGAAACCTTCACCTAGATGTGTCGCTCTTGTTTTTTTTTTTTTGTATTAATTATTTGTAATTTATCGTTAAATGAAATTCGTTTAGGCCTCGTTGTTATTTAACTGAAAGTGTTTGTTTAGTTGTCGTTAGAATAATAGTATTGTGTTTGTCGCACCCGCCCCTACGTCCCGGAGTGAATTTGGTAAACTCAGTAAATGTGTGTCTAACCACCTGTTTGTAATTTAATTTTACAATTGGTTTAATATTATAGGAAGAAAATGGCACTGTCAGTGTTCAGTGGAGCTTTCTTCCCCCTCGAGACGTAAAGTCACTCGTGTGGAAACCACGAACCTACTTATCTCGTCTCATCTCGTACTTATCTCGGCCGCAAAGCATTAGTACATTTCGGTCCGGACACACAGTCAAAACACTTGAGACCTTCTTTGACTTTGCTAAAGGCAACATTAACTTTGTTACGTCTACGGGTCGCGGTGACCACTAAGCACTGAGTGGACCACGACCACTCGTCTACTGACCTCAGTTAATGTAGCAATAAGTCGACGAGATGGCTTTAATGTAGCAATAAGTCGTCGAGACGGCTAAGGGGACCACATCCTTCCAGGCGTCAAACAGACTTTTACGAACCTTTGGCCCTAAATAATCTGATGACATTTAAAGCAAACTCATACATCGGTGTTCGTTTTTTTTATCGCCCATGTAGGCAGTCAAGCATACGGCCTACCTGATGGTGAGTGGTTCCCATGGCCCGTGGGTGTCAGCATTGCCAGGAGCAGAGACAAGTCGCTGCCCACCGTTAAACATCATTTAACATGTGCATGTATATCGTTACAATCAAATGTTATTTTCAAGTACCTACGTTATATTACTCGTAGGCGCCTAGGCGTAGGACACTACGAGTATTTTAATATTTGACACGTGAAGATGATAAATTGATAATTTGATCTCATCGAACAGTGCTCAAGTAATTCGCAATTTCGGTCACTAGATCTCACTCAATTATATTTTACCAGTGAAATGAGCCATCAAGCTCACGTGATGTTAAGCGGTTTCCAGAAATGACCACAACGTGAATAACGATTTGAAACGTGAGGTCGTATTTTTTATTGCTTAGACGGGTGATTTAATGATGGATTTAAGTAATAATGCTTATTAAGAACGTATGATCAGTGAAGTGACCTTATAAATCTGTGAGTCACACACACGCACAAAAAGAAAGCTGAGGGAACAATGTAAGTTCTTCCTTTTGTTCACGATCCTGAGTTGCCGCTAGTTTGACTCGACTCGATCCGACTTCAATATTTATACATTCCGTTTCACATCAAACCTCCTGTAGGGTCGGTCTCGAAAATGTTTTTACAAAAGTACTCTATAATATAACAAACCGCAACAACGACGCATCAAATAGTGTTGTTTAATTAAGATGCCAACGCCCAACACAAATTGTATATAACATTTTGAAGAATACTGTACAGATGTCGCACGCTTACTACCATCTACATTGGGACAAAACATTTCCACTGCCGATTCCGAAGCAAAACGTGAATGCTTACTAACAAAGCTTATTAACTTTGAGATAATCTATTTGATAAATTAAATTCCTTTAAGCAAATTGTAAAGGAAAGACCTTGAATGACTGATTATTGTGTGTTTTATAACTATACTTATTTGATGTATTAATACTGTTGTTATCATTGTTGGGGTGATAAGGTTTAGTTTTTATTGGCATTGTATATGAAATGAAAATCGTCTGGTTTGTATAGCATTTTCTATGACATTGCCATAGATAATACATACTGCCAAAAATATTTAAAATAATAAAAACATGAGTGACTGGCTGTAACGTTGAACATGTAAAGAGTATTAATATGATGTTACACAAATAAAATTGATTATTCACATTCACTGAATGTACTCATTATGTCAATGTTTCTACAAATCACAAATGCGTTACAAGAACAACACAGAGAACAGCAGTAAAATGAACGAATATACACTGCCGGTAAAGCATTCGGGTTTCTATTGTTCACTGATTCACACTGTGTCCTTGTGCAACATATATACCCCACTCACTTACTCATTTAAAACATTCCAAAACGTGGACTATCTCTGACCTAACGGATAAGACACCCGAAGTATTCGTATCGAATGACGGAACTATCAATCTATCTACTTACCAGCCCATAAATGCCTACTGCTGGTCATATTATGCCATCCCCCAATCGGTCCTGAACTGCCGGCTCGCTGCGAAAGCGACTCTACGTCGCCAAAACTCCACGTTGTATTACACCGAACTCTAGGATCGCCATCAAACAATACAAACTAAACATTCATCGAGTTGTTTATTAGCTAATGACCCTATACAATTAGGTTTTATGAATTAGAACAGATCAAATATTTCCTAGTTTACATTTTGTTGTACCCAGCGCTTCTGCTTCAGCCAAGGTATTGGGCATCTTGGTTCCCAGCGTCTCCGGTTGTGTCAGCACCAGCAACCCTGACAGGATACCCATCGCAGCGAACAACAGTGATGGAATACCAGGCCAGAAAACCATCTGAAATTTTACACATCGAATAGTCAATATATCCGGTATAGGATTTTGGCCGCAGCAGGTTTTCTCTTCTAGGCCTGACATGACGACAGACAAATAACATTATTTAGAATCTCTCATCAGCTATTTATCTAACAATCACATTATCAGACGAGTCAGCTCTTCAATTAAAACATCGCTAATTCCATCCAGAACGTAAACACGTACTCACACAATAGTCCGGCTGCCAACGAGTACTTGTGAACACACCTATCTTACATATACGTAGGTCGGTCATTTGATGAAAGGTTTCGACGCACTACCTCTAGTCCTATTCACTTTCTAATCAAAATAAATTAGGCATATTTACTTCATAAAATACAAGGATAAGTCGACAGTTTCTAACTTACGAGCACAGGAGTGAGTGGAGCAGTGATGGATCCGATGCGCCCGATCATGGACGAGAATGCGAGCAGGCTGTGTCTGTACTGCGTGGGGTACAGCTCGGACGTGTACAGGTACAGGGATGTGAACACCACGGAGATGCCGAACTTGCCCAGAAGGAATACTATCAAGCGAAGAATCGTGAGATCTGAAATGAAATAAAAATTTCATCAAGCTTATCTACTTCCGTTTAGACTCACTAAAGAAGTGTATACGCCAGACAAAAGAGCCACTTTCATATCTGTGAGACACAGAACTGACTGCCGTGAGCTCCGATGTCTACACATACATACGCGTAAGGGTCACGACACCACATGCAAAGCCACCGTTGGGACCCGACCTCACGCACGCACCGGACCGAGATGCTTGCGCTGAGGGTGCGCCGAGGGTGCGTCGAGGAGAAAGGAGGTAAGGAGGGTATTTAATTTTCTTCAATTTAATTAAAAGTTATTTTAGTCAATACTGGTAAATATAAAAACTGCAACGCTCTGAATGTTTTAGTTTGATTACTCCGTTTTTATAAACATTATTATACTTACTAGTGGGAATAAACACAAATGCGATATTACAAACAGCGCTAAAGAAAAATCCTCCAGACAAAGTAGGCTTCCTGCCGACTCTGTCCAGGATCAAGACTGCTGTATAGAACCCCGGGATTTCCACCGCACAGGTCATAATGTAGTTCAAGTATAAGGTATCTGATAAACTGGCAGAGTTGATGGAGAGGCCGTAGTACACGAAGGTCGTGGTGATCCACCAGATCGGAGTGGTACACACACGGCGGAGAAGGATCCTGGACTTAAACACTGTCTTGAACAGTCCTTCTTTCTTTTCTTTTTCCTAAAATTAATTTACTATTTTATAACTAGCTTTGTAATTCATAGTATAATGTAACATTTTGCGGAAAGAAAAAAACGATTCAATTCATTTGTTGGTTTAGGCGGCATCCTTGCGCATCGGACGCACGCGGACAATACGGAGGTATGTTTGAAAAAAATTCGCTATCCCGATTCAAGTTTTTGCCCAATTTGTTCTAGTCAGTAAGAGCTACCGTTACATCTGGTTCTACTCCATGAGTAATGAAGTCGCAAAGTCGTAAGGAATTATTAGCAACCCTAGCCGGCCAACTGCAAGGTAAATTGAATCGTGTCTGGAAGAATACAATCACGTCAACGACTTACGTCTTCAGGTGGAGCTGGTGGAGTCAATAAGCCGTTCATTGAGCTTTCACTAATAACCTTCTTATTTGTCTTCGCTACTCTTTCCAGGACTATTTTAGCATCATCGAACCTCTGCTTGGATAACAACCATCTCACACTCTCAGACAATATCCAGTAGTAAGATACCGTGAAGAAGCATGGGATGTGGAGTACCATTATGAGAGTACGCCAAGGCTGGACCAGCCAGGCTATACTGCCCAAGGTTACCTGTCCCACCGAGTACATAGCGGTGCAGGTAGCACTGGTTAATACTCTGTATTTTGGTCCTACGAATTCTGCAGCTGGAAGATTTCAATGGTGATAAAATTATCGTATTTTTTTGTTTTCATTGTCCCTGTTAGATAGGTCACTTATTACTGGTGGTAGGACCTCTTGTGAGTCCGCACGGGTAGGTACCACCACCCCGCCTATTTCTGCTGTGAAGCAATAATGCGTCTTGTTCAAACCGAAAAAGGGTAAGGCAGCCGTTGTAACTATACTTGAGACATTAAAACTTATATCTCAAGGTGGGTGGCGCATTTACGTTGTAGATGTCTGTGGGCTCCAGTAACCACTTAATACCAGGTGGGCTGTGAGCTCGTCCACCAATCTAAGCAGTAAAAAAAAACTTGATTTGAGCACAACTCTGGCCAATGTTGTCAACAATGTAAGTAGTAGTCATATCTTACTTGAGATTAAACTTTACGGTACATATATACATTTCTATGTACCTAATATATGCATATAGCATTGTGTGCTCAGAGCAAACTAATACTTAATAATTCAAACAAAAATACGTAATCTCTAGCATTAACCAAATATTCTTACCAAAAATATAAGCTGAACTGAATGTGCCGGCACCTAAACTTGTCTGGATTAATTGAAATGCCAAATACATGGGATAATTGATGGAGAATGCTCTTATCAGTCCAAAGAGAGATAAGTTAAAGATGCTAATGATTAAAGCTATTCTACGTCCGAATCTATCAGAGATATATCCAGTAACAGGTAGGACTAGGAGAGTTCCGATGCTGTTCAGTGTTCCAGCCAGAGCTCGCATCCATTCGTCGCAGCCGAGGTCAAACTGGAATTGGAAATATGCATTTTTAAGAACCACCAAAAACCTAGTGATAGTCTCTCAATTGTTTGCATCTCTTTTGTTTTCAGTTATAATACTATTTTAATTATAGTTAAAAGTACAATACTCAAAAGATAATAAATACAATAACTTTATGATAACTATGTGACGATTATTGAATCAGTGTATTGTTGTGGTTCTGGACTTTTGTCATACTCAATTGGAATTAAAAGTCAAGGAGGAAACATTACAATGAACTCACGTCGTAAACAACAGAATTGTCTCTGGCATAAACAAAGGCTTCACATTCAACGACATCGTCGAAGAATAGATTCGAAGGACAAAAGTCTGTCGACCCGTTGACGCCGGTCGGTGCGAAGCGCTCGCAACTAGCGAACCCGGACTCGCTCTGAGGGATGGCATTCGGAAGCCACTGAGGTACAAATATGGAGGTTTTACTGACTTCACCGCATTCGGCGATCCGACATCTGGAAAACAACGTAGATTAGTTAGTTAGCGCAGAACATAACGTCAGTGAGACCTTCTTACTTCGCATGTAGTTGACATAAACTCACTGCCGTAGTTTGACGAATGGATGCATAAAGCTAAGGGTCAGTGAAATCATAGACAGACAACAGTTTGCGCGACTATCAATCAGATGATAGGTACCGGCGTGTGTTCCTGGACTCCTCAAGATGTAGCCACTTTTTTTTTTTTTTTTTTTTTTTTTTTTTTTTTTTTTTTTTTTTTNGATGTATAATATTTGCAATTTGATTATGTCTATGTGTGTAGTCTGTTTGTGCAAGATTAGGGCATGCTCCAGTGATATGTTGAATAGTTTCTGGTTGGTTGTGACATTTTCTACATCTATCGTCTGTTACTGTAGAGTCTTTGATAATATGTTTTTTATAGTTCTTAGTGTTAATGATTTGGTCCTGGATTGCTATAATGAAGCCTTCATTATAGCAATTATTATTATTATTATTATTATTATATGTATATTCAAACGCCTTGCGTAGCCAAAGCGAGATTCAGGAAACCGCCATCTATTGAGCATTGACGAAACTAAGTCTTTTCCCTTACAAAACTTTGCCGGGTTACACAAATTCGAGGTATTTAAATTTATACCCGATCCTGTAGACCGAATGGTAAAGAGTCGATGTTACCCTAAACACCGTATTACGGATCCTCCCGATCCACTAACGGTGCTTTTAGGTACCTCAAGCACCAGTCACCGTCCTCACCAAACCCCAGGGGGCCCCGAAAGACCGACAATTTCTCTCACACGCTTATTCTCAAAACATTTTTTCGGGCACATTACACTTTTTTCACAAATCAGTAATCAGAAGGTATTTACAAGGCATATACTATGCCTATAATAGAAGATTTTGCTCAACAGACATCCCGAAAGAAACCGTTATCGAAATCGTAACCAAAAAACCATCAGCATTCTAATATCATTCATGAAATACTATATCATACTGTATTTGATAACCTTTAATAAATGGTCATACTCAGTAAAAAAATGTTATTATAATTCGCTTTTTTTACTTTCCAAAAGGGCCTCAAATTCTTGTGTGCCCAAGGACCCCATCCTAGTTTAAGACGTCCCTGAACACAGCCCACTGTGTTGCTCTTGCTCTTGCTAGGGCCAGTGTTAGCAACACTCCGGTTTGAGCCCCGTGAGCTCACCTACACGTCAAGGATAAGCTGAAATAGCCTCTCAAGGCTATCAGCATAGGAAGGAAAAAAAATTATGACCCTGTCAAATTCGTAATTCGCAATTCGCATGTAATATTAATCCGATAAAGTGATAAGCACTCTGTATAAGACATTTTTTTTTACTCTAGATACTAAACTTGATTGTACACAAAACATTTTTTTTTTTAAATATATTAAAATAGCTTAGCTTACATGTATAAGGCAAGATTAACCCATTAACGAATATGTAAAACTTTATTTCGAGGCCATTTAACAACGAGGTAGCAAGAGTCACGGGCATAGGTAGGTTTTTTTCCCCACCTATTCAGTGGTAGTGTAGGGGGGTATTTCAGCTAGGTGCGGACGGGATAGGTAGGGATTGTTATGTTTCCCACTTTCTCTTTCGTATATCCCATTTTTCTTAAATCTCACGTTTTGGCGAATCGTATACGTAACTAAAACTACTGTTACGATTAAATCTGGCGGTTTATGTTTTCATTTTATTGTTTTCTTCATTACGAATACTTTACCGTGTTCGGGACTCTTCCGTGAAAAGTGAACCAGACAATAATACCTCCCTCTAACATTGACTCTGGCTATTTCTTCCGCCTGGGTGGACTGACGGGCCGTCATACCGCAGAGACAGACTTCGTTGATCGTCGATGATCACTGGTTGTAGTGTTAACCCTACTCTTACCAGGTCCCGTGTGCTTAGTGCGAGCTTTTTAACATTGTCGATAGCATAAAAGTGAACTCTATGTATGCAATTGGAACACGCCCCTAGCGGCAAACGTAGGCAAACGTTCCAACTCCATACAGATTTAACTTTTACACTATCGAAAACGAAAAGAAACTCACATTACATACACTGACTCCGGGTGGAGAACGGAAGTCTGGTGCAAATACTGCAGGAGAGTTGTTTAGTGGGTAGGGTCCTAAATTCTATCTCTGGGCCCGCGGTCCGCTCCCAACATCTGCAGATTGTCCAGTCCCACATACCCCACGCACTCCCTAGGTGCGAAGACCTCATAGGAGGATCGGCCCCCGGCCCGAGTAAAAAAAATGGCTACCTATTTGTTAAATTGACCCACATATCCCCGAACGTGTCTTAATGGAACCTTCTCTGACCTTAACAACAACTGTGCAAAGTTTCAACACAATCAGATTAACAACACGTAAACCTACAGAACATGACCAATCCCAGTAAGCAATGTAATACCAAATAAATGCCGCACACGTTACATTGGACCTTGGCCCTCACGTGTCAGCTGCTATCAATGGCGTAGGTGATCAGTTTTACTGCAAACATGACGATAAGCCGTATTATTATTTTTATTTTTATTGCTGAGAATGGGTCGACGAGCTCACAGTCCACCACGTTAATGCGCCACCCACCTTGAGATATAAGTTCTAAGGTCTCAGTATAGTTACAACGGCTGCCCCGCCCTTCAAACCGAGACGCATTACTGCTTCACGGCAGAAATAGGTAGGGTGGTGGTACCTGCCCGTGCGGACTCACAAGAGGTCCTGCCACCAGTATTAAGAGCATATAGGCACAACATCGTAAATTTTGCTCACATGCTCCACACCTAAATTCATTTGCATAAATAGCTAGAAGTAAAGAGTAGATATATTAACTCTCCGTGCAGTGTTGCTAAGAGCCCTAATACGTATAAAACTAACAATAAATATTCAAAAACGCTAACATCCACGATAACGCCAGCAAGTTTGGATTTTGGACTTATCATAATAATGTAATATTTATTGGGTGAGTGGAATTAGGCAGGTAGATAGCGTGAATAATACGGGTCGGGTGGCGGACATTTTTGCACGTATTTTACTGTTTTCGTATGGTCCAAATGAATAGAGACAAGCGTTTTGAGCGATCAAGAACTGAGCTCTACTGTTTGTTTGTGTTTAGATAAGTGAGAATTGACAATGATTTGGTTTAATCTGTAGTTTTTATGAACCATAACACTGAAGACGACTGAAAAACAGAATGGAAGAATATCGCTTAAAACTGCGCGTTGTGGGGATCTATTGAGATTATTCGTTGCTTATAATAGCAGCGACTTTGGACTAGAAGATTATTCTTTAAGTTTCTCTCTTCAATTATGGCTTTAACTTTATTAATATCGCACTATCGATGCAACAAATATGATCACAAGACAGATTTGTACATCTACCTCAGCCCATATCAAGCCATAAAAATTTACTAGTGGTCGCCCGGTAATCGAAATTCGATTATAATTAATTGAAATTATAAGTTTATACACTCATCATCATTTAAGACAAATATTAATGAAGACAAACAATATTTAATCTATTATCAATTTGATCACAGACTATAAGCAATATGAAAAGTTTGACAATAAATAAATAGTATGCATGCGTGTGTGTGTCAAATACATGGTAGTGTGTGTAATGTTTTTTCACGGATTTATTGTATTATTTATGGATATTTTTTAAAAATATGAGAATTCCGCACTTCTTCTCAATATTCTCTATAAGTGTGGGAAATTTCATACTGCCCCGCCCGCGCAATTTTCGTAAAAAAGGGGAACAAAGCTTTTGCTTCACGTATTAATATATAGATAAAGCTATTATTTACCCCGCTTATCGCTCGTAGCTTGAGCACGCATTAGGCTATTTGGTCAGATTTGTAGACGGTCCTGGGTCATTGTAGGGCGGCGGTTTTTACTTTATCTCAGCTACGGGCCCCAAGTAATGGCTGCTTCGACCACCATTACCAAAACGATAATAATTTAAAGGATACGATGTGGTATGCGAAAATTAATGTCGTAAACTATGTATGTACATCCATTAAATAACAAGGTATGTATGTATATAGTACACCGGCAGTGTTGACCTTTGAATTTTATCACAGTCTCACTGTTGATGAAAGATTATGATTAAGTGACCAACCTTCGTGACTAATAATAATAGTAATAACTCGTGTACTGTAATTATGATAATTAAGGTTATTATAATAAATATGATAAATAATTACTGGTGGTAGGACCTTTTGTGAGTCAGCACGGTTAGGTACCACCACTCTATCTATTTCAGCTGTGAAGCAGTAATGCGTTTCGGTTCGAAGGGTGGGGCAGCCGTTGTAACTATACTGACATCTTAGAACTTATATCTCAAGGTGGGTGGTAACGTTGTAGATGTCTATGGGTTCCAGTAACCACTTAACACCAGGTGGGCTGTGAGCTAGTCCATCCATCAAAGCAATAAAAAAAAAAATAAAAAAAAATTTGAACGTCTCTCTCTCTCTATCTTTATTTGTCTTCCACTCTTTTTTTTATTTATTACATCAGAGAGTGATGAGTTTCCAATTATAATTTCAAACATACCGCCAATTTATTTCATAGTATGTATAAATATTTACGCGCCCCATTAATGACACATAGCGGTTGAACGCCTTGAATGATTTACAATGGATCGGAACACACGGTCCGGATAAATCAAATTAAAGGCAATCCGGATATATTCCGTTTACCGACCAGCGACGGTACACAGCCGGTTATCCAGGGAAATATGTCCCGGGTGCGTCCCGACGATAACGCCGGATTACGGTAAACTTTACGGCAGTTCATACGCACGTTTTATGTCGCTGACGGGATTTTTGGGCGCGTGGAAAGAGTAGCCAACAAATTTATAACAAAAAACTTATGGACACACGTATAGGAAATGTAATCTTGAAGACAGTTAGTGGCAGATAATTCCTGACAAAACAAGACGGAAATAAATACATTCATTTTTGAAGTTATACTTCTTTAGGCGCGTTATGAAAATTTGATGAGAGTGAAACTTTACGATGCGCGCGCACCGTGACACAAAATTAACAAAAATGAAGTTGCCCACTAAATCGCTCATTACAAAACGACCGACGTAACTTGGCGAGTCTGAATATAGCCGCAGGTGAACTTTCGCGCATGTACACTCGTAAAAAAACGAAATAAAGAAATAAATTTAATAAAAATAAAGTATAGCTTCTTACGCGCGTACATAAGTACACGCACCCTTGCAGGGTAGGGGAGCCGTTGTAACTATACTGAGATCTTAGAACTTATATCTCAAGGTGGGTGGCGCATTTACGTTGTAGATGTCTATAGGCTCCAGTAACCACTTAACACCAGGTGGGCTGTGAGCTCGTCCATTCATTTAAGCAATAAAAAAAACATTTTATTGCACCAATTCCACGTAACTTTGGGAGCAGCATACAGAGAGTACAGATAATAGCATACAGCTTCTAGGCAAAGTATTTATTTATTTGTTTATTCAACTTCATGCACAAAGGTACAAGAGCAAACTTAATGCCTGAGGAATTCTCTACCAATCAACCAAGGGTGGTGTAGAGAGTCCTGTGGTAGATGCATTACTTTTTGCGAAAAGTATTATAGTCACACTAGCTGTACCCGTCCGCTTCGCTGAGCATTTAAAATTAACATTATTATTTCTCACCCCCACAAAGATTCTCATAATTAACGCCCCCGCAACTGGTGTAGGGAGTCCAACACTTATATAACTATTAGCCTATCCATTAAGTACATGTATTTTCTATATGGATACCAAGTTTCAAGTCAATCGGATGCATGGTTCAGTAGTTATAACGGAACATCCGTAAAAACCACTGTAGATTTATATATTAATATAGATTAGAGATGATTCTTGGATTGCCAAATGACAAAATGAGACAAATGTTTAATTGATTCTTCAAAATACTATAAACACAGCGCGCTGAACTTAAGTCAATCGAAGTGACTGTTGGTCATTTCAAAATTTCAAAATAAATTCAGGCTAATCTCTGCTACGGTCCTATCATTTAATTCCTTATTTGAGAAGAGGGCAACCATTTATCTCATAATTAATATATTAAACACACACATAGCAAAGACGGTGAGGGATGAAATTACGAATTAAATGTATACTTGTGTATGTGTGTGTATCTAAAGCTGAAATACACACACGCCTCAAACGTTTTCAATGGGACACGTATCAATAAATGAGACACGAATTCCGAAACCCGAGTATATCCGGTGTCCCGTTAACGTCATAGAGTAAATTTATTAAGATACGACGATTTTAATACGCTTTTATTAGCTTCAGACGTATGTATGTTAGTATGTAACGGAATCTTTGAACATGATTTTGACCCCCTTCAAAACGTCGGATTAACTCGAAATTTGGTATACTTATTAAGGACTGACAATTCAATAATAAAAAAGTAAAATTTTTTTTTTTTTTGAAAACATTGAATTTATTTACATTTATTTTCTATTTTTTAGTTGGTTTTTCTATAAAAGCGTATTGTGTTAGTTTTTTTAAACTATTATTTATTTGGAAAGGTAAATTAGGCGAGGATACTATTGCTATAGATGGATTGTGGGGACGACCCTATTAAGAGCGTGCATGGATCGAAGAACAATAAGAAAAAGAACTAAAGAGTACATAAGTCATCAACCGTTCAGAGGGTCGGCAAGCTGAAGTGGCAGAACCGACGATCACTGGAGCAGCTGGGTTCTTGAGTGAAGACCACACACCGACAAACGTGATGGGAGACGCCCCGCGGTAGTAAATTTATGTGGAGACTCGGAGGCTGGACTCCATTAGTGTACATTAGGAGAGGTCGATATCCGAAATGGATAACTGTGGGCTGATGATGGTGATGGGTCGAAGCAGTCGTGTGTTCCATTTTGAAGAATCAGACTGCCAATATATAATGCTTTTTCACATTGACTTTATGGTGAGCCATGAGATTCATGTAGATTCTATGGGTTGCGGTAGCCACCTAGCACCAGGGTGGCCACAAGTTCGATTAGGAACATGAAAAATGGGTTAAATGTAAAAAAACTAAAACATCAAACATTTGTAATAGTATTGTTACGCGCCGAGGTTCGGGATAAATAAAATTTTACCGAATTACAAGTTAACACAGTATTAGCACTTAGAACACTTAAAACACTTCATAAACACTTCAAAATTCCCAGTTCGCTTCTTTCGCTTCGCTTCAGGTGATCCGATCGCTGTTTCGCTTCTAGCAGTTAAGATTACTAACTGAGTGCGCGCCATCCCTGCAACGTTTTTATTGCCGATACCACATCCCTAGAATTATCGCGAACATTCCTCAAAAGTCGAGCACTGTCGATGCGTGCTTCCGCTATCTGACAATAGCTGCCGTTGTACTTCTCGAGCGTTCTAGATGTTACAAGATCCTTTCATGTTCGTTCGGCTATTCTGCGATAGATGGCGTTACTCTTACCGGCGTAACAGTATTCTTGCCTCAAGCCAGTGATTTCTGCTGCCGTATCTCAGACTCACATAATCTATGCCGCAAGACCAAGATTACGAACAGTCGAGGCATTCAGTCATTCACTCCGGTTTCCATTCAGTCGCGAGTTATTAGACCGGTACTGTAAGCTGCTTACCGGAATACCGGAAACTACCGAAGATTGCCGATTTTACGCCGCTTGGCCAACTAATTTCTTTGATCGTCCGCCCGTGTACGAGCTTTGGATCNATATCATATTTGCACATAACAATATACCTACTTACTTCCCATTAAAGTATAAATTCTACAAATAAATAATACTCAACAATATTTAAAATAAAATGAGCCAAGAACGTTTATCGATAAAACCTGATAACATTGAAATCATTTGTACAGCACTAAAGCCGCCATGTTTTGTGGCCAGATGACGTCACAGTGGCACGAAATTTTAGTTGACGTTTCATTTCCATAGGTTTCCTACTTCATTGATTTCTCTGTGGTTTATTAGCAATGCCGAATAATTCAAATTATTTTTAACAGGTAACATTTGGTCTATACATAAAAAATTATCAAATCAAGCAAGGGGTACCGCATGCTCAAAAAGTTTATAATAACGATTTTTTTTCCTTGCAGTCCAATTTCCTTACATATACTCAATTTGGTTGCACACTATTTGTAGTTAGCAATCCGCCTTCGCTTCGCTTCGGAAACATTAAATTTTATTATTAATAGCTGAGTTCCATGATGAAGTTACTCCTTATATCATCAGCTACTTATCAGTGAAAGTATCGTCAAAATCGATCTAGCCGCTCCAGAGATTAGCCGGAACAAAACAGACAGACAAAAATTGTAAAAAAATGTTATATTGGTTTATGTACCGTATATATATTCATATGCATGTAGTAAAAATAGCGGTAATAAGCGTTTATTTCAATATTATAAACAGACACTCCAATTTTATTTATATGTTTAAATTGTTCGAATTATTGCATACCGCGCCTTTTGTCGCTACATGAAGTAGTACGACATTGCAACAGGGAATCTCGTGAGAAAAATAATGATGGAAATTACTCTATGTTTCTGAATTATGTAAATGATATATTTGACGGTAATCCTAAATATCAATTACACGAAGCTGTAAAGATTGATAATGATCGCCTTTAAGAGATCCTCTAACAATTATCCCAGGGGTAAGCGCGAGTCGGGTCGCGTTGCGTTCTCCTAATTAAGGACTCAGTGGGTCGTGGGTCCGTCACGGCTTAGCGGAATGAAATGTATAAGATTTGAGTGTTTGTATAAATAACCGATGGTCCCTTCTCAGTTTCCGACCAGGGAACAATTTAAGCTTTCACTGAGCTAACTCAATTACTACGCATCCTAGCTTCCTATTATGTTTATTACACGTCTCAGAATAAATTTCCTTTTTTTTAATAGCTTAGTTGGGCGGACACGCTCACAGCCCACCTGGTGTTAAGTGATTACTGGAGCCTATAGACATCTACGACGTAAATGCGCCACCCACCTTGAGATATAAGTTCTAAGTTCTCAAGTATAGTTACAACGGCTGCCCCACCCTTCAAACCGAAACGCATTACTGCTTCACAGCAGAAATAGGCAGGTTCCACCAATACAGAACGTGCCTTATAGAATTAATTCCACGTAGACGTTAAATGTCACCTCAATTATACAAACAATGTAAGACAATGTAAATTATCGTCACACAATAAAAAAATTAAAATAAAAACAATTTAAAAATACAACTTTAACAGCAAAATCTAGACTAAAATGGATTCATCAAACAAAACAAATTATCCGCTCGTAATAATTTATTTATTGGTTTTGTAGGCAGACGAGCACACGGCCCACCTGATGGTAAGTGGTTACCGTCGCTCATGGACGTAATTGTAATGCTATTGAAACCCAAATAGTCTCCCGTTGTACGAATTCCATTACTATATTTTGAAGCAGATCACCAGAATCTTGGTAGATCATCCCTTATACTTTGCTTCCCACACCGCTCTATCAAGGCGTAGCCTAACCAATATTCTCCTGAACGTATCTTCTTCGGTATTTCTGATACACTTGTTTCCAATACTTCACAGCTTCGTTGTACCAGAGTGGAACTGTCGAGAACGCTTCGTCCAGAACGAAGTTCATCGGCGTAGTCAAATTAGTTGGATACCACTTGACTGGGAGAAGATCAGTCGCTTCAGGAGTTGGATCGCTGAGGACAAAAAGATATTTTAACAAACAAAAAAAGACTACGTGCCATTTCATTTTTAAAAAAATATTGTTTTCTCCTATAGATTACTTTGTCAGTTCTTGTTAGTCTAAGATAAACAAAAAACTACTTTTAAATTTTAATCTCCCGTTGACTATTGTTACGCCGGTAAGAGTAACGCCATCTATCGCCGAACAGTCGAACGAATATCGAAGGATCGAGTAGCACCCAGAATGCTCGTGAAGTACAACGCCATCTATTGACAGATAGCGGAAACTGCTACTAGAGATTTATTTTATAGATGTTCGGAATATTATAGATATTAATATTATAGATATTATGGAATATTATAGATGTTTAGAATATTCTCGATAACTCTAGGGATGAGGTATCGGTTATAAAAGCGTTGTAGAGATGGCAGGCAGTCAGTCAACAATCTGAACTACTCGAAGCGAAACAGCGAACAGATCACCTGAAGCGAAGCGGAACAAGCGAATTGAGAGCTTTAAAGTGTTTGTTGAGTATTTTAAAGTGTTTAAGTGTTTTAAGTGTTGAATAAAGTTTTTAAGTTGTACTTTACTGAAATTTTATTTATCTCGAACCCCAGCGCGTAACACTATTATTTCCGGCGTTTCGAATTACAGTTTTCAATGGTTACCGACAACAAAGGCGTTATTTGTCGACTTATGAATATTGCGCGAATTACCCTCTGATTTAATACAAACAAAATAACAACAATAAATGCGAGATTAAACCGTAAAAGTAAAATTATGTTATCCTACATTTTCACTAATAATCATGTCATTTCAGCTCGCTAGAAAAATATACCTGCAGCATTCCTTTGGAACCGTCTCACTCTATAGTTATGTCTAGTAAAAGGAAATTCACCGGAAATCTGACGCTGAGATTGCATTTGAAACTTTCGGAAACAGACGTAAAATTTCAGCCATATTTCTAGATTTGAATACTAATTATTTTTATTGGTTATAAATACTACCTACTTATGGCAAGACTAATGATTTCGGAGTTCCACAATTCCGTAGCCAGTTCTTAGACCCCATATAAACTTAAGTATAAAATAAAAAAATCGCATTATACTCGAATCAAAGTAAAAATTACAAAAAGTATTACAAAAAGCATTCAAAATTAAATATAATATTATGTATGTTATATATACACATATGTTTAAGTAATATCACCTTCACATTACACCTACCAAGCTTCATCTCTGCACTCCCCTAAGGTAGACTGTTAGAGAATGCCTATGGCATTAAGTCCGCCTTTATACTTTCTAGTATAAGAAGTTATAAATAAATAAATAAATAAAAGTGAAAGCAATAAATTTTTTTTAAAAAAGTTACATTATAAAACTAGTTGTCTTTTAAGATAGTTTGATAACAATACTAGAATGGGTGGCATCACCATCACACTTTTACTGACTTGATAGAAATCTTACCCGTATTTCGCAAAGTTCGTCCACAAAGTAGTTATTCTTTCTATCATTTTGTTTTCAAAAAATCCAGACAACCATTCTTGAGAAAACATATAAAATAAATCATCGGCATGTGTAGCTCCCGGGACATCTTTGTACGCAGACCCACCACCTAACTTCGGTAGGTTCCGCCAGCCGGAATAATTAAACAAATAATTGTAAATCGGTTGCTTACTACTCTTCAGTATCAACTCTGTTTCTTCTAAAGAAGGATAGTTGAGGTAGGGCTCCCCATACCATTTTGATAAACTCACTAAATCTCCAAAGCTGTCACCATCTCCCATGTATATCTTCTTAAAATTCCCGACGATTTCAGTAACCGCCTCTTGCGAAGTTATATTCAAGTTCTTTGGTAGTGACTTCTCGATTTTGATATTGTTTCGCATCGTGCTATTGTCCATTTCTAAGATCATGATCCCTTCTTGAGTATTAGAGCCTATAATCATCGGTACTTTATTAAACTCTCCCTTTGAGAGCGCTTCCTGTGGTGATTGTATCAAGAACGGCTCGACACCTTCAATTACTTTTTCTACGCACGGCGTGTACAAGATTTCTGATATTATAACATGTCCCTCCTTTCTCGGCACTCTTGTCAATATTAATTCATCATCCGATTTCGTCATGAAATATTCGTACAGTTTAACGGGATCTTGACTTATAAACCCCATAACTTTAGCTAGTAAGCTAGCTAGGAAAATTGGTTTGAACTGCAAGCCGAAAGGTGCTAATGAAGATCCACTCTGTGTGATAGCTTTGTGAAACAACCCTTTGGTCATCGGAGACAAGACCAAAAACGAAACTGATGCTGCCCCAGCGCTTTCTCCGAATATCGTTACGTTATCAGGATCCCCGCCGAAGCTGGCTATATTCCTCTGCACCCATTTCAAAGCAGCCACCATATCTTTCAAAGCTGCATTTCCTGGTGCTTCTTTAATTCCCAAACAAAGAAATCCCTGTATATTAAGTCTATAGTTGATAGTTACTAAAATCACTCCTTTAGATACCAGATATCTTGGTCCATAAAAAAATGAAGATCCAGACCCTTGAAAGAATCCTCCACCATGAATAAAAAACATTACAGCGAGCTTATCTCCAGGGTCGGTATTAAATGGAGTATATATGTTCAGGGTCAAACAATCCCGTCGTCCTATAGCCAGGTTGGTAGAAAACTGCTGGTTGCATCTGATTTCCTCGTGAATTGCATCATAGATACCATCCCACTTTGGCTCTGGACCAGGTGCCTGAGTAAAAATGTGTCATTTAGAAACAATCTACAATTAGTAATTTGGACATTTTGAGCACGTTTGTGGCCCATTAACACATAAAGTGCTAATTACAGTACAGGATTTAATTTCCGTTCCAGGTAGAACGAATGAATGATATCTGGAAGCGAAATATGGCAATTACAGGTATTAGTGAAAAGCCCGTTTCCGCGGCTAGTGGTGCTGGTAAAAAAGAGTCATGTCTTCAATTGGTTGGTTAAATTGGGTGGGGGCTGTATTGAAATAAATTAAATTGGCCCCTTTCAGAGAATTTGTATCTCTAGAACCATATTTTGAGAAATGCTGGTGACCAGTATATCACGCATCCTCGATGTTGTCATCCGCATACCAATGCATGCCATCAAAACATGCATGCCGTTGATATGCAGGATAAAATCATGGGATAGAACACGGAGCCTTCTGGAATTTATGATCATGGTGTCGGAGCAACACCAAATAACTTTGATGACCGGCCCATCCAAAAATGTAACGATTCACTTGCAGAACCATTGAAGATTCCGTATAATATTGAGTTAATTAGAAGTGTCATTTATCAGACCCTCTCGAAGGTCTTTGGGTCGGCTTTACCGTCATCCGCAAACTCACTTCCAAGACTTGCCTATCGTAAAGCTATCTTCTCAAATAGCGTTTTTTTTACATACCGCTGCAAAAATATTTACAAAAAATAATCGTCCCAAAGCTTGACAGTTCGTACCAAAGCTATATTTTTTATGGCTTAGATGGGTGGATGAGCTCACAGCCCACCTGTTGTTAAGTGGTTACTGGAGCCCACAGACATTTACAACGTAAATGCGCCACCCACCTTGAGATAAAGTGTTAAGGTCTCATTAGAGTACAACGGCTGCACCGTTCAAATCGAAACACATTACTGCTTCACGGCAGAAATAGGCGGGGTGGTGGTACCTGCACCTGCGGACTCACAAGAGGTCCTACCATCAGTAATTACGCAATTTGTAATTCTTCTAATTCTAGGGGGTGTGGATGAATGTGATGATAAAAAAAATACTTACTTGGAACTTAGTTTCATCGGTAACACTCCCAAATGGTATTCCGTTGTATTGTACGTATGATCCATCGTGTGCGACGGCGCCCCGCAGTAGTCCGTTGCTGACCCGTACTGTGGCTGTGGGCTGACGCACCAGCCGCGCCGCCCACAGCGACCACAGCACCACCCACTTCGCTCGCACACACATCACACAAACTATATCTGTTCACAATACAGCACTGTCCTCTCATACATGTACTGTGAAGTCTTCATATACCTTCCCTTTTAAAAATACATTACTCAAAGCAATTACAACTGATGCTTCACTCACTCACTTCTTCAATTTTGTTCATAGTGTTACAGTAAGGCGAAGACCTCAGTCGACATCATAGACCCAGTGTCAAACGTTGTTTTAAAGGTCGAGTGATGGCAACTAAAGACTGTTAGATGTGTATTAAATGTTAATAATGCTAAAAAACTACACATATATACCTCTAAACATAAAATACTGTCCCGATTAAATTCCGACAAGATATAATCAACATATAAAATTATAAAATAATTAGCGCAGGAAGTACTAGAGGAATCGACACCAAAGCTGCAATTATATAATGAATTTTAATATAGAACAAATAAACAGATAAATGCTATCGTTATGCAAACGCAAAACGGACTGAAGCTATCAATGGACGAACCTTAAAGATAAAATGATAAAAAAATTATCAGCGCATTGCATGTAATGTTCGGACGTGTTACACTGTGCTCTTAGTTTGCTGTATTTAATTTCCGACGAGGTAGACGCTAACGGACATAATGCCAGGATCACAAAACGCTCAACTCTTTTTTTTTTTTTTATTGCCCTTGTAGGCAGACGAGCATACGGCCCACCTGATGGTGAGTGGTTACCGTCGCCCATGGACTTCAGCAATGCCAGGGGCAGAGCCAAGCCGCTGCCTACCGCAACTCCCAGCCCGAAAAACAATTAGGACACAACCAAAATATTGCCAATGACAAAACACCGCTCTGTGTGCTTAGTGCGAGTTTTTTGACATTCTTGATAGCGTAAAAGTTAGCTCATATTTGTACGGAATGGGATCGTTTGCGTACGTTTGCCGGTAGGGGCGCTATTGAAACTGCATACAAAATAGGGTTAACTTTTACGTTATCGAGAACGTTAAGAAACTCGCATTAAGCACACAGACTTCATATGGAGAACCTCATTTTTTCGGAGTTAACTGGTGAACGAAAAAAAAGTACTATTCTCATATTATGTTGTTTATTATCCACTAAATTAGAAGTCGTCGTGTTCTAGGGATTAAAACTGCCGGTGCATTCGTCTAAGCAGCGGCTTGGCTCTGCCCTTGGCATTGCTGAGGTCCATGGGCGACGGTAACCACTCACCATCAGGTGGGCCGTGTGTTCGTCTGCATGCAAGGGCAATAAAAAAAAAGAAAGAAAAACATTGAGCGATGCGCCTGAGTTCCAATCCCGCAGGCAGGTATCGATTTTTCTAATGAAATACGTACTTAACAAATGTTCACGATTGACTTCCCACGTCCTTACGGATCCATCAGATCCAATAACCTTTGCATTAGATGCCTTCAGCTCTAATACTAGGGGCAGGCTCAGGGACCCCGGTAACCGTACTCGTCGAACTCGACAAAGAGGTCGACGTGCAACCTAACCCATGCATCAGCCCGCTGAGTTTCTCGCCGGATCTTCTCAGCGGGTCGCGATTCCGATCCGGTAGTAGATTCATTCGCGAAACAATTGCTCTTGAGTTGTTAGGTCTCCTTCGGAGGCGCTCGGGCAGTTGTTAGCAAATCCCGCCCCTCTTNAAAAAAAAAAAAAAAGATTGACTTCCACGAGGAAGGAATAACATCGTGTAATAAAAATCAGTTCTACAAAACTATAATTTGCGTAATTACTGGTGGTAGGACCGGTGGTAGGTTGTAAGGCCGCACGGGAAGGTACCACCGCCCTGCCTATTTCTGCCGTGAAGTATTAATGCGTTTCGGCTTGAAGGGTGGGGCAGCCGTTGTAACAATACTGAGACCTTAGAACTCATAACTCAAGTTGGGTGGCGGCATTTACGTTGTAGATGTCTATGGGATCCGGTAACCACTTAACACTAGGTGGTCTGTGAACTCGTCCAACCAACAATGTAATAAGTAAATAAAATATATAATTTAATAAAAGACGAGAAGTATTTGGTATAGGTAATAAAGAAAAGAGAAGTAGAGAAAGAAGAGAAAACTGTAAATAATTAAAGTAAGAGTACTATTTAGTTTAGGAAAACTATAAGAGAAGTTTTTTGCAGACATTTTTTTTTATTGCTTAGTTGGATGGACGAGCTCACAGCCCACCTGGTGTCAAGTGGCTACTGAAGCCCTTAGACATCCACAACGTAAATGCGCCACCCATCCCGAGACACAAGTTGTAAGGTCTCAGTGTAGTTACAACGGCTACCCCACCCTTCGAACCGAAACGCATTACTGCTTCACGGCGGAAATAGGCAGGGTCTACCCGTGCGGACTCCTAAAAGGTCCTACCACCAGTGAAAAGTTTATCAATTGTAAAAATGCACGGATTACCTGACAGACACGATGTGGGAATAAAGTATTCGCTCTAAACTATCTTATTTTACTAACTAATGTATTTGAAAAGAAATATCATTAACTAAAACACGAGTTTGGTCCGCCGGTTCTTTTTAGAATGGCGAATGATATTTTGAACCGGTCTTAGAATTAGCATAACTAACATTCAACAGGTCGAAATAAATTAAATCACATTTCATTTCCGTTTCACAATTAACAGTTTCAACAAAAAAGCTACTAAACACTCAATGTTCAGTGAACATTATGTAACCGTTTTATAACATAGAAACTGGTTCAAATAACCAGTTCAACGAAGCGTTGGCGGGTCACTCGCTCTGTCAAACGCAAGACGTTATACGCTGAACCGACATACTTACAAAAGTTACAAACAATATAGTTTTTATATTTTGTCTTTTAGAAAATCAACAGAAAGAACATAATGTGATCGTATCATTTTTAATACAATTATAATTTTACATTAGACAAGTGATTTAACTTGTGCGTAATGTGTTTTTAGGTTATGTGTTGAAAGAGGTGTATCTGTGGTTTTTATTTTTGTTGTGACTCTAGTGACAGTTCGTGACTAAAGAATGAATTCCGAATCAAATAAATTATAACCTGACCAAATGTAAGACTACATTTAATAAAATAAACACATTCCTGTACAAAAAATATACTGGTATTGTATCTATAGGGTGAATAAACTTTATCGGATAATATTACAAATTCCATTACAAAACAAAAAACATTTTGAAGGTGAATAATGAATGAAAGGTAATTATTTACTTTCCTCCAAAATGATAGTCACTGCAAATGCAGATCTTTAATCTTCATTTTACAACAGTTCTATTTGATGACTCATTACAAAATTTGACAACATTAAATAATGTATGAATATGCTTAGAAAAAATAGTACTTGGAAAAGGATTTCAACCAGGGAGTAATATGTATTATAAATTAATACGAATGCACTGGTTATCTTACGTTTCCACCATAGACGCAATAATACATATTATTATAATCCACCTTCCATTTTGTGTCATATAAAACAGAATCTATGTATTTACATAGGCATCCAACTTCAATAACTCAAAAAAAAACTAAAAATCCCGGAATTCACTTAATGTGGCAACATTAAACGCTTGGGTTAAAGTTCTTAGACAACGTTTTATGAATGATTAATGTCCAATTACTTATAGAGGCATTGGAAAATTAGCTTTTACTAGTGGAAATAAAACTTAAAATTGTAACCGGTATGTACAAATGTTTATTACAAAGGCCAATGTCACACTTTGGAGACTATATTTTATAATGTTTTAATACAAATTTTACGATATATTGTTCATGCCTTTTTTTGTGTAAAGGGTGATGATCTCCGGGCCTTGCTGCTATTAAGTAATGACCGGAAATCTTACGTCACAAAGTGAAGGCCACCAGTCATCTTGGGACACGAAGTTGAGGTATCACTTGGATTAGATGACAATGCAGCCTCATAACAAGACCTAATAGCAAGAATACATTATCCTTGACAATTATTTATGGGTGAGAGCTTGATAGCTGCATATTGAATCAGTCTTCTTGAAAAGTATTGGATGGAAACCTCTTCCACTAGAATTTAAAACAGCTGTCACAGCATTTACTGGGATTGTAGCTTTAGTAGCAACTCAGGAGGGTCGTGATACCGACCCGTTTGCGATCACGATACGCCCTTTCACAATTCTCAAGATACCTTAAGTTTACTATGCGGATGGTTAAATCATAAATAATATTAAGTGAAATAGCTACTGTCAGCGAGATGAAGGGCACAGGAGGAGGCATAAATAGATAGACTCGTGTAACTGGTGGTAGGACCCTGCCACCACTCTGCCTATTTCTGCCGTGAAGTAGTAAAGCGTTTCGGTTTGAATGGTGGGGTAGCCGTTGTACTGTAAAAACTGAGACCTTAGAACTCATTTCTTAAAGTAGATGGCGGCATTTAAGTTGTAGATGTCTATGAGCTCTTCCACTCACCTAAGCAATAAATAAAAAGATTCCACCAACATTCACATATCCATAGACACAAATAATCGCCAAAGCCGCGATTCGTCTCACAATTATCCATGATACACGTCGTTATAACATTAATAAGCACTCATAGCTAAAACTTTCATTTTTAGGAAATCAAATACCAACATAGAAAGTGGTGTGGATGAAGATGCGTCGCAGCAGTGAATTGTGAGCGCGGGAAGCGAACTAACACATGGATCGACACGGGTCCAACAATTAAGTGCAAATCTGTTTCACGAAAAAATACGAACGAGTGATAAATATAATTAACTGAGAAAAAAAAGAATTAATTGTAAATAAACATTTGTATGATAGGAATGTTATTTTAAATCGAAGAAGTCATTAACCTAGAAGTGTTTAACGCAGTTACGCTCCGGCGACACACAAAGCCACGCAAATGAAGAAGAAACGCAGTGAACTTTTGTAATATCTCTAGAAGATATATCTTGCCAGTGTGTGTGTGCCAAGTATTATGTGTGTGCGAGCGAAGTGGTTAGTGCTGTGGTCGCTGTGGGCGGCGCGGCTGGTGCCACAGCCCACTGTCACAGTGCGGGTCAGCAACGGACTACTGCGGGGCGCCGTCGCACACGATGGCTCTCATTTACTATTCTTCGGCATACCATACGCCGCAACTGACACTGAACATAGATTCCAAGTGAGTTTCGGCTACTATTCCAATAGTACTTCTTTTAAAATAATAGCGTATAATTATTTAAAGAAAAGAACCTTAAACGATATCATATATTAGTAGTCAGTTTAGTTTTTTAACTTATTAATATTTTATTTTGTTCTAACAATCACGCCACATTAACTGGTCCCGTGATAAGTTCGTAAAGAACTTGTGTTACAGGTACCAGATAACGGATATAAATGTAAGATTGTTATTATACACATACATATATTTAATATACATCCATAACCCTGGAAAAGACATTTATATTTATCATACAAATATCTTCCCTTGGCGGGATTCGAACCCGCGACCCCCTTGTGTAGTGACCATGTCACTTACCACTACACCAGACGGCCCCTATTTATTTATTTATTGCTCTTCAGTTTTCTCACCAGGAGCTGCATCTCGCTCTCATCTCACTTTTCAAACTTTTTTGTTTCCATCAAAGGAAGACGGCTCAGGCTAACTCACCCACAAGATTGTTTTTATCATTATAGAAAAAGGCTATCTGGTAAAACTGACATTTTGCAACTTTACAAGAGAGCCACTTAAAGTTTAAATTTTTGCAAAAAAACCTATTCCAACTAAGCTATGGGCAACTTAATTTAAATTCAATTAAAAACATCGAATCCGGCATCATTCAACGAAGAAAACTTTTCTGATTCCGAAAATGTATATAACTCAATATCACCCTAGATGTCGCTCAAGCCATTACTCATTAACTCCACGTTATGTAACGTTGTTCCACCTCCAAAATACTACATAATACTAATTAAAAAACAAAAATCTTACTATTTACTCTCGTTTCAGAATCCAAACCCGGAACCGAAATGGGAGGGAGTCTTTGATGCCTACAACGAGCACATCAGGTGCTACCAAAGGTTTAGTCCCACCAAGATATCAGGACGGGAAGACTGCCTGACCCTAAACGTCTACACGCCTAATAACTATGACTCGATCCGCCCAGTCATGGTCTTCATTCACGGCGGAGGGTTCCGAGATGGCTCAGCATCTCCATTTATGTACGGCTCTGAATATCTAATAAAACACGGAGTAGTACTAGTTACAATCAATTACAGGCTGGAGGTTTTAGGCTTTTTATGTCTAGGTATTAAAGAAGCACCTGGTAATGTTGGTTTGAAGGACCAGGTCGCAGCTTTGAGATGGATCAAGACAAACATCAGGGCGTTTGGAGGAGATCCTGACAATATTACGATTTTCGGAGAGAGTGCCGGTTCTGCTTCAGTTATGTACCACATGCTAACACCGATGTCTAGAGGATTATTCAACAAAGCTATTTTGCAAAGCGGTTCAGCCATTACTCCTTGGAGTTTTCAGTTCGAACCCTTAAAGACTGCTAGTTTATTGGCACAAAGCATGGGCGTCAAAACTGAAGATCCACATGAACTATATAAGCTATTTGCCAACATGCCTGCCGAAGAATTGTTGAAAACAAGAGTGCCCAGACGGAAAGGAGATATAGTGTTATCCGAAAATATATTCGTACCGTGTGTAGATAAAGAAATAGAAGGTATGGAACGATTCTTGCCAGATACGCCAATAAACTTAATTTCCAACAACCAATATCAAAAGGTACCAGTTATAATTGGCTTCAATAATGCTGAAGGTTACCTGTTCGCTGGAAAAGAAAATGAGACTACTCTAGCTAATTTCAACATCTGTAACGCTCTGCCCAGAGATTTGATATTCCCGACTGAGGACGAAAAAAATGATACTGTGAATAGGCTCAGGGGACTTTACTCTATTCGCAGACCCGAAGATTACCTTAAAAATATTGCCAAATACGAAGGAGATACCAGCATCACATATCCTACTATAGCCAGTATAGATCTTCTGTCTAAATCCACGGATGGATTAATTTATGCCTACAAATTGTCTTACGACGGATGGCTCAATGTACCGAAATGGTATTTTGGTTTCCGTAAATATCCCGGCGCGGCTCACGCAGACGAACTATTCTATTTATTCAAAGTCAAAGTGCCTTTGGTTATGGAGTTCATCGAAATTGAATTTATAAATAAAATTACAACGCTTTGGACAAATTTCGCTAAATTTGGGTAAGATTTGTTTTTGTTTTCATTTATTAGCTGATGTAAATGCCGCTATTCACAATGAGGCTCAATTGAAATCTCAACTACTTTTGTACATGCTCTCCTACCCTTCAATCCAGGGGCTAAGATAGTTTCGTGGCACAAAATAGGCAGATTACTGGTGGTGGTGAACTCATAACCATCCCCATTAGTTAAAAGAGTATTTCAGACCGAGGCGGAGAATAAGAATACTTCTTTATAATAATTGAAAACCAGTATCTTCTGATCAATAGCCAGACAGACGGAATATTAATGCTGCATTCAAACTATGCTTACTGTTCTTAAGGATGAGCATTAATGTTTAATATTATTATTTTGTCCTACCTACGGTAGACAGCGACTTGGCTCTGCCCCTGGCATTGCTGAAGTCCATGGGCAACGGTAACCACTGACCGTGGGCCGTATGCTCGTCTGCCTACAAGGGCAATAAAAAAAACCTAATTACTAGTAGCCACGAGGGGCTATTCTGGTTTCACCAAATTAAGTGCTTAGTGATAATTTTGTTCAGTGAACAGTCTTACCAGGTAGACTGTGAGCTACGCTCGGTCATCATTCTCGTCAAACCCGTCGCCTCCGACGAAGGGCTCAACGAGTAAATTAACCCAGAGACAGTCCACTGGGTTTCTCGCCGGATCTTCTCAGTGGGTCGCGTTTCCGATCCGGTGATAGATTCTGCGAAGCACGGCTCTTGCTAGGGTTCGTGTTAGCAACGTCGTCAGGTCTGAGCCCCGTGAGCTCACCTACTAATTAAGGTTACGCAGAAATAGCCTCTCAAGGCTCTCAGCTAGGTAGGAAAGAAAAAGAGCTGCGTATGCACTACAATAACAAAGCGGAACAATATACTACTTAACTTTTCTATTTATTTCAGAAACCCAACACCCTTTCCGTCTTCTACACTTCCTGTAACATGGAAGCCCTTCAAAACGAGCGATCCAAAGATATTGGTCATAGACAAACAGTTCTCGGAGGAGAGTCTTTGGAGCGATGAAGTCATGCTCTACTGGGACACCATCTACACTAAATATAGACGGAAGCTTTGACAAACTAGTCTTAGTCAATCTGTAACGACAATATACTTGCCTTTATCCGTGTGTTTCTTTGGTCTGACGGCCCGTTTCAACCTTGAATCATGATTCGGAGCTGATTGGATTGGATAAATTTTAATTTGCATAATTACTAGTGGTAGGACCTGTTGTGAGTCCGCACGGCTAGGTACCACCATTCTGCCTATTGCTGCCGTGAAGCAGTAATGCGTTTCGGTTGGAAGAATGGGGCAGCCGTTGTAGCTATACCTTATATCTCAAAGTAGGTGGCGGCATTTACGTTGTAGATGTCTATGGGCTCCAGTAACCGGTTAACACCAGGTGGGTTGTGAGCTAATATGAATGAAAAAAAAAATATAGTTTAAAAAACTAAGAAAATAAGCTTTTATAGAAAATGGAACTAAAAAATAGAACAAAAACTTTAATTAAAAATAGTGTAAGAAGAAATGATTTTATTGTAAAAAAAGCGTGGGTGCTTTTCAGGATATTATTAAATTATCACTTCTACTCCTATTTGTTCATAAAATATTTATAACTACTAATACCATGCACCCACGCTTTTTTTTTACAATAAAGTCATTTTTTCTTACACTATTATTAATTCAAATTTATTAATATTTATTTTCAATTTTGTAGTTGGATTTTCTATAAAAGCGTATTTAGTTAGTTTTTTAAACTATTATTAGTTTTTCATTTTTTAGTTGAATTTCAATTTTTACGATTATTTTAAGTATACCAAATTTCGTTTTAATCAGAGGTTTTGAAAGGGGTCAAAATATGTTCAAAGATTCCGTTACATATTAACATACATACGTCTGAAGCTAATAAAAGCGTATTAAAAAAAACATAACATCACAAAAAAAATTGCAACGTTTTTTATTGCCTCGTAGGCAAACAACGGAATTGCCCATCTGATGAGAGCGGCTACGCTTGCTCATGGATGTAGACAATGCCAGGAGCGCAGCCAGGCTTCAGCCCAATCCTGAGGATTCTCCGCAAATCTCGTTTGAAGAAAGAGATAAATAAAACGGGACTATAGTACCGACCCGTGCGTCCCGCAGTTGCTATCTCTGCATATTTTATAAACACGAATTTGATTTCAATACTCTTACTCTCCAGCGTAGACCATGAGGTTGTTAATTCATCTATGCAATAAATAAATAAATAAATAAAAACTTTAGTAATTTCTACTTGTCTAAATGCGAACATCGCTATTCAACAAACAGGACCGATGATTATTCCAGTAATTAATTACAAAGAAATCATGGGAGATACTAAATATAGAAATTTATTTTCTACTAATTTCGCCTCGGTTGAGGACCAAAAGCGATTAGAAAACTCTACTTGTAACGGGGTAATCGGCACGATGAACAGAACCTTGAGTTTTGTTGTACACGCAATGGAAGTTGCTTCCACACCGGAAATCGGCACTGTAACTATCTATGAATAATGGTAATACGGTATCTATGAATGTACCCAACGTAAAATCAAAACAGACGACGGGTTCGCGGCAGAATTTTACAAAACGCTTGTGTCATTCCATTGACAATGAGCCCTAACATCGAAAAAGCCCGCTGCTGGTGGTAGGACCTCTTGTGAGTCCGCACGGGTAGGTACCACCACCCTGCCTATTTGTGCCGTGAAGCACTAATGCGTTTCGATTTGAAGGGTGGTGCAGCTGTTATAACTATACTGAGATCTTAGAACTTTTATCTCAAGATGCCAGCCATCTCAGCACTAAAAAAAAGAGAAAACCTCCAAGCATTTAGCCGTCATTTGTGTGTGTAAATTGGCAATTGTTAGCGTAGGCGTGCACTCTGTGCATACATTACTACTACTATATGTTCCACAAACTGTAAAACACTTGACTGATCGTTCATCTCGTTCTAAAGTTCGCGTTAGAGAGAGATAAATAAACTGCGCCAAGGTAGTCGTATAATATGCAGATGAGATCAATATTTCATATACACTAAAGTTACACAATACGTAGACTACCCACCTTTTACGTAAGTTCTGGTTGGACGTAACCTTGATGCCTGGTGACACCGGTAAGCACTGCGCAACGCATCCTATGACTAAGTCTCAAGCTGTGAGTAGGAGCGGACTCAGAAATACTATTTGTGGCCGTATTGGATACCAGTTATATGGATTTAGTATCGATGCTATTACACCCTCCACGAGTTTTTCGTTTATGTTAACATACCTAATACCTACATTAAGCTGCGCGACGTCCTATTCTTGAAATTCTGATTGCCCCATACTTCGACATTTTGGTTCTTCAATAATAGATTCACAATATGCCATCATTCGAGATAGGAACTAGAGGGACACTAAACTTTGTAGGCAGCGGGTTGTCTCTGCCCCTGGCATTGCTGAAGTCTATGGGTGACGGTAACCACTCACCATCAGGTGGGCCGTATGCTCGTCTGCCTACAAGGGCAATAAAAAGAAGAAAAAAATTAGGGACACACGTTCATTTGTCTCCAAATTAAGAATCCCTGTAGTATAGTGTGGCGGGTAGCCATCATACAACGCAAGATAATTGACAGATGCCTGAATCTCGCTTACGACATTTTCAAGATAAAGCGCATATATACAAGTTCCGAACAACAACATTTGGACCGTCGGTCTACCGAGCAATATCATCCGCTCGGTGGAAGATCTTTCCTTTCGTCGTTCAGCATTCCCCAAACTGGTGACCCCGACGTGATCAATCGCAACCTTCTGATTCATCATCAGCGCACCTACACTGCCTCATCGCGCAGCATTCAAGCTCAGTCTCGACTCACCGCAGACTTCGAGCAGCACTGGCGATAATCACGCAGCATTCAAGCTCAGTTTCGACTCACCGCAAACTTCGAGCAGCACTGGCACTTGCAAGCTAATCTCAGCACGGACAACGCTAACTAAATGACACGACCTCCGGTCTCGGAGGGGAGTGATGTGGCGGGTAGCCATCATACAACGCAAGATAATTGACAGATGCCTGAATCTCGCTTACGACATTTTCAAGATAAAGCGCNCAGTAATTACGCAAATTATAATTTTGCGGGTTTGATTTTTATTGCACGATGTTATTCCTTCACCGTGGAAGTCAATCGTGAACATTTGTTGAGTACATATTTCATTAGAAAAATTGGTACCCGCCAGCGAGATTCGAACACCAGTGCATCGCTCGATACGAATGCACCGGACGTCTTATCCCTTAGGCCACGACGACTTCAAAATCGTTAATGGTGGATGGTTAAATCATAAATAATATTAAGTGCAATAGCTGCTGTGAGCGAGATGAAGGGTACAGGAGGACGCGTACATAGATAGACACGTGTAACTGGTGGTAGGACGTCTTGTGAGTCCGCGCAGGTAGGTACCACCACCCTGCCTATTTCTGCCGTGAAGCATAATGCGTTTCGATTTGAACGGTGGGACAGCCGTTGTACTGTAAAAACTGAGACCTTAGAACTCATATCTTAAAGTAGATTTTTTACGTTATAGATGTCTATGAGCTCTTCCACTCACCTAAGCAATAAATAAAAAGATTCCACCAACATTCACATATCCATAGAAACAAATAATCGTCAAGCCACCGCTCGTCTCACAATTATCCATGATACACGTCGTTATAACATTAATAAGCACTCATAGTTAAAACTTTCATTTTTAGGAAATCAAATACCAACATAGAAAGTGGTGTGGATGAAGATGCGTCGCAGCAGTGAATTGTGAGCGCGGGAAGCGAACTAACACATGGACAGACACGGGTCCAACAATTAAATGCAAATCTGTTTCACGAAAAAATACGAACGAGTGATAAATATAATTAACTGGAAAAAAAAAAAATTAATTGTAAATAAACATTTATATGATAGGAATGTTATTTTAAATCGAAGAAGTCATTAACCTAGAAGTGTGTAGCGCAGTTACGCTCCGCCGACAAACAAAGCCACGCAAATGAAGAAGAAACGCTGTGAACTTTTGTAATATCTCTAGAAGATATATCTTGCCAGTGTGTGTGCGCCAAGTATTATGTGTGTGCGAACGAAGTGGTTAGTGCTGTGGTCGCTGTGGGCGGCGCGGCTGGTGCCACAGCCCACAGCCACAGTACGGGTCAGCAACGGACTATTGCGGGGCGCCGTCGCACACGATGGCTCTCATTTACAATTCTTCGGCATACCATACGCTGCAACTGACACTGAACATAGATTCCAAGTGAGTTCCGGCTACTATTCCAATCGTGCTTCTTTTAAAATAATAGCGTATAGTTTTTTAAAGAAACGAACCTTAAACGATATCATATATTAGTAGTCAATTTAGTTTTTTAACTTATTAATTTTTTTTTTTCTAACAATCACGCCACTTTAACTAGTCCCGTGATAAATTCGTAAAGAACTTGTGTTACAGGTATCAGATAACGGATATAAATGTAAGATTGTTATTATACACATACATATATTTAATATACATCCATAACCCTGGAAAAGACATTTATATTTATCATACAAATATCTTCCCTTGGCGGGATTCGAACCCGCGACCCCCTTGTATAGTGACCATGTCACTTACCACTACACCAGACGGCCGCTATTTATTTATTTATTACTCTTCAGTTTTCTCACCAGGAGCTGCATCTCGGTCTCATCTCACTTTTCAAACTTTTTTGTTTCCATCAAAGGAAGACGGCTCAGGCTAACTCACCCACAAGATTGTTTTTATCATTATAGAAAAAGGCTATTTGGTAAAACTGACATTTTGCAACTTTACAGGAGAGCCACTTAAAGTTTAAATTTTTGCAAAAAAACCTATTCCAACTAAGCTAAGGGTCCCGTAACTTAATTTAAATTCAATTAAAAACATCGAATCCGGCATCATTCAACGAAGAAAACTTTTCTGATTCCGAAAATGTATATAACTCAATATCACCCTAGATGTCGCTCAAGCCATTACTCATTAACTCCACGATATGTAACGTTGTTCCACCTCCAAAATACTACATAATACTAATTAAAAAACAAAAATCTTACTATTTACTCTCG